TTTCAACGATTCCTAAATAGCTCTGCTTCCTTCTTTCCCTTCAGTCCTTTGTAAGGAAGTTGGTCGCTCTTTCTCTATAAACGCCAGCTGACTCAGTGCGTAATGTATCTTTTTTATTGTTTTACTGGAGCCAGTCACCATAAAGGCATTCCATTCTGTAGTCGTGTGTTTCTAATGCATAAAAGTCATTCGGTAGTTTGACATGTGGTTCTCGCGGATATTTAGCGAGTTCCGTCGGAGCGAGGAAAATAACCAGCATTGAGTCCAAAGAGACCCCTGGAAGGCCCATGTAGGTGAAATAAAAGATCTTTTGTATGACGTGGTAAAGTTTTATGTTTAATTGTTAAAAGAAATCCTCCTAAAACACCTGTAGGTATGAACTAATTTATGATGATGCAGAATGTCAGACATGTCTTGAACGATCGCTGGGCGTGAGTCTCATGAGGAAGATCAAGAATCAAGTGTCAGGAGTGATCATTCTTGTGTTTAACTTTGTATTCTCGCCATTTAAGCCATTCAGGTAAGTAGGTGATGAATGTAAACAGAATCAGTAAATCAAATGCACGTTGACAAAGAGCAGCGACCTGCCGACCACACACCAACGCTATACCGTGTAGGGATTGTCTGAACTTTGCCCCCTAGTAGTTTCCACTTACCGCCTTCCTCCTCCACACACTTTGATTTTTTTACCGAAATATTCAGATATTCAAAGCCTGTTTTTTCAAGGAAAAGTTCGAACTTCTGACTTTATCTTAAATTACATGGGTTTTTTAGATATAAGAGGCGGTCGTTATGACCGTGATTGTGATGTAGAGTAACTAACATCCCTTGATAGTGTGTTGTGGCTGTTTTTGTCTTCAGCCACAAGACTCAGTTAATGATATCAGCAGCTTCCGGTGGGGTTTGGAGATTTCCTCTGAGGGTACTTGCCACTGAACCGGAAGTCGACGATACGATTACTATCGACTCTGTTGGACTGAACAAGGAGTCAGTTGTGGGTTTCAGAATGACAAGTCAAATGAGGTAGGTTGATTGAGCAGAGAGGGATTTGCTAAACTGCATCAGAAGAGAAAATTGGTCAAGTTTGAACAATTCACTTAGAAGATACGGACAGTTTTGGAAGCATGTACCTAGTGTGCTGCTTTTCCTTTACAGTCATTCAAGCCAGACGTGTAAACAAATGTTAAGCGTTTTTTCATCTTAAAATTTATGTCCGTTCTCTCTATTAGACACACCCTTCCGTTTGAAGCGTTTTTCGCTCCTAATTCTGACCCGGAGTTCACAGTAGCCCCAACATCCGGTGAACTAACTCCTGCAGGTACCGAAGGAACACTTATCAAGGTTTCGTATAAGCCCCAAATTTACGGCAAAACGCACATGGCCAAACTGGTAGTTCAGGTGAGCAAACAAGCTAGTCAATCTGATCAAGTGATACTTATAAATGATATTTTCTTTCTCTCAGGTTTTACTGATCAGTTCCAATACATGAATTTGCTAATCGTTGCTAGAGTACATCAACTTTACCCAGCTCGCCTTCCCGCCATAAACCAGCATGTTTCCTCTTTCCCTTTCCCTCACACGGAACCGCATAAAAAGAAAAACAACTTGCTAATGATCTAAACGTACGTTGATGAAAGAATGCAAGACTAAGTGAACACCTTCTGCGAAGAGATTTAGCTTCTGTTTTCGATGTATTTCCTTTTCGTGGTTTGTTCTATTTGTAATACTTGTTCATGCATTCAAACAGCAGCAAAATGTAACGATATCAAACTTGTGATTACTTGTAACAGCTGTTACTCCCCGTGCCCACCAAATTCACCGTCACTATTTGCATTGAAATAATTCGAGTGTAAGTATGTTCCCTCTATTCATGATCATTCAACTCTGCCCCTCGTTTGGTTTTACGAAATTTTGGAAATTGCTGGTTTATTTTGAAGCTATTGCCGCCATTTTCCTTAAATGGTCAATGGCCATACAGGGTCATTGATAGAGCATATAGTTCTCGCAATTGATATGCCTATGTGCATTGGTAACAATGCGTTGCGTATTTGGTCCACAGACCTCTGATATGCAGTGGACCTATGATGTCATCGGTACAACTGCTGACTATAGCCCTCCAAATGTGCGATCGAAAATCGTGTCTAATAGCGCCAACTTACGTAGGACAGTAAAGCAAAAGAAAAACTACGTACTGGACAACTTGAAGCTCCAAAGTACCGCAGTGTCATCTCCGTACAAAGGTGTTCCACTAGTGCCTCGATCAGCCAGATAAAATGCACACCAGACGGGTTTAACCATTTATATTATCATATGTTCATACTATTTTCTAATGTGACATGCTCATTTCCACTTGCGAAAAATGCTCAACGTGTTGTAAGTTTGTTGGTTGTTTCTTTTCAAGTATAATATATCGTTTTGTATCTGGTTTACAGTAAACCATCTAACACTATAATAAAAGCATTTCTCAATTGAGTAGCCCCTCTTTACGAGTAGAAAATTGTTCCTTGGAATCATCTCTCAAAAGTGAAAATTAATGACAGACTCTCTGCCTTTTGGCATTGATGGGAAAAGTAAGAGCTACTTTCCCTTCAAGTCGTTTGAGCTAAATTAAAATAATAAACTTAATGGGAAATGTTTTTTGAAGATAGCCAAACCATTGAAATTAGAGAAAGTTGTTCTTCAATTGTGCCTAAGAAAAATCTTACTACCACATTTAACGTAAAAACCTTCCCCTGGGAAATAATCAGCTTGACCCGTACTCTGCTTCGGAGCCGGATCCAACACCTCACTTTAATTAAGCTGTGATTTTGATACACAGATAAATCGAAATAAAAGGAAGTTGGATCCGATCATTCAACAATCAGTGAAAATAAGTGAAATCATATCCAAATCATGAATTATTATCTGAGTGTAATAGCCAAACACTAGTGGTCGGTAGTTCTGATAGACTTGAAACATAATCGACCCGGGAGCCAACAAACCAGTCTTGAATCAGAACGAAATGTGTATATTTTAAACAATTGGTGGGTTGATTTCTGCTTATGCTGTTCTAATCAGAGATATTGGGAAAATATTATGAAGGTAAACAGACCATGGATCTTGTAGAATTACCTACTAACTGCATCGTATGTCATATGCTCGAGGGTTCCGTTATTCTTTTGCCCAAATTATGACTTTGTTGAAACTAGTTGACGGTCACCAAAACTCAAACCTGATCATATTTACGCAAAGTACTCCACAACATTCAAGTTGGTGAAACATGTTCAATATTGAATGAATAAAAAGGACGAGAGAAGAAAAAGAGAGGAAGCTCTTGTTATTTTTTTGTTAGTTTTTCTTCATTTCGCTTGATTCTATTTGCGGCTAAGCGCTGTACTGTTGCCCTAAAGGTTATTGTCAACAAAATCGAATACCTTCCGGAAAAATTGTCCTACGCGCGCTACTTTTACAGGAACCGCAGAAAAATATGTATCAGTAATTTCATAAATTATAGATTATAAAGGTAACAAAATTTCCCATAGCTTCTGTTTTGCTAGGCGCGTGCGAGCCTTTAAACACAAAACTTGAGAAACTGATGGCGTTTGCTTCAATGAATTACCAGCCTCTCGCTCCGGGACATCACGAGAGATATATTTCGAATTTCTTAAAAGCCTCGCACCCTTTGGTGCGTTGATATATGACGAACATTCTGTCCAATGTTCATTAAAAATCCAACAAATCTACCTACCCTATTAATCCGTTAAAGTAGAGATAACTCGCGTAAAAACAAACCTCGAGTTTGAAAAGAAATTCAGTTTTCGCACCTCCTCAAAGCGCGCACTTAAAGTGGTCAAGCCGCCTACCAACGAAACGCAATATCGAAATCCTTGGCAAGTCTCGTGACATAGAATTCCTCTGAAATTCGCGGGAAAGTTTAATTCGCGAAACGGGGAAATCGAATTTACAATGGCTCAAACGAAATCCAAACATCAATCGGGGAAAAAAGAAAGAAAAATGCGCAATTGCGAAAGTAAGCTAGGGAAAAAGAAAAACTCAACTTCGAGTTTTTCGGCTCAGGTTCTCTTGCGACTTTCTCCTTTGGTGAAGACTCGCATTTCCTTTTGTTTTGCGAAATATGCCTTTTTGTTGTGTAGTGTAAGACGCCATAGAAACAAAATATGCAAATCGAGATTCCAACGAAAGTCCGCGGAAAACGTTCTGTAGGCCTCTCCGATTACGACACCTTTCGCTCATCAGGGCAAGTTCCTCTTCAACATTTTACCAGCCGCATCACGCGTTCTCTTTAAGATTTTGTAATTACTTTTTCCGGTAAATTAAACTTACTGCTTTCTCTGTCTAAAGAACAAAAAACGAGATTTTGTTGATAGTAACGTTAATATCTTGAGTCACTGAGTTCAGTTTTTATCAGGTCCTCAGTATTACACTGTGCATTGCATTCTGTACTGCACACAAAATTACGTAATCTGGAGAAATAGCGCACGTTCCTTGCGAGAACACGATATAGTTTTTCGATCAACATGCATCAGTAAACACACGGTGACCTTTATATATTTTTCACTGGATAATTTTGGTGACTAACAGACACTGGTAGAAAATATGTAAGGAAAGTTTAGAAAGTAAAAAGGAGAAAGGAAAGTTTATTTTGAGGCATTACTCAGGGCCTGTTCGTATCGTTGTATTTTTGGGCGTGTTTCGGTTTGTCATCGTGGTGAACACACTTACATCACTAAATGACGGCCTCAAGGAAAATTACCCCAAGACTCTTCATTCACCGATGCGAAGAGATGTAGAACAGTTCGTTAAGTGACGTGTTTCCATTCGACCTTGTAACCTGAAGAGTACTCACAGTATGTAGAGGTTGATCACGAAGTTAGTTTGAATAAATTAAATTAGATACACACCACGTAGGCTTATGTGAATCAAACTGTTGCTGACCGCTGGCTAACTATACAGCTGATGCCATTTCATCAAACTGTCGATGTCTTTCGCTGTCTGTGAGTTTCGGAATACTTATCTTCTAAGTCTGAAAATCGCGTGAAAGTCAGTCTATCTAGAGATCTATTGTGTAGGAACAAAAAAAAAATTGCTTATTAGTTTGGGTTAGTGTGTTAAATAGTGTTATGGATCCCCTTGGTGTGACAGAGGGCTTTGTGGACGCTATTTCTATACCAAGATGGGGCTCGACTCCTGTCCCTGCTTATGAGAACGTGACTCCGCCGGCCAATGACAGAAGGACGCACAGTCCATTTCCTGTGCGGCAAGACATCAACAGCAAAGTAGCACTCTGGTGAGAATGTGTTAGGAAGCAAATTAACTCATTCCTTATTAATTTATCAGGTTTCTAGTCGTAGATTTGTTTTGTGGACGTGATTTGATACCGTGTGTTGTTGTATTTCTTTATCTATTTGAAAACGGATTTTCCTTGATTGGTTCGACGTGTCTGCGAGAAGATGGTGTTCTTGTTGTCGCAGAGTGCCTCACTGCTCTTTTACTTTAGGAGATATATGATACTGCATCACACTTTTCGATGCGTTAGATTATCCACCGGCGGCTTGGTTACGGGTGTAGTTCAAACGACAACACACATGTTAAACTTTTACTTAGCTAATAACTGAAATGAAAGTGACTTAAAACCAAAGGATACTCTGATCAGTTAATGAATAAATACACTCACACCAAAAAATTAACGCTAACGTATGAAAAGTTTTGTTTTGTCAAGATGAAAAAGAGCAATGTAGCCCCCCCCCCCTTTTAACTTGTGAAAAGGAGTTTTTATAGGGATATTGGTTAGGGTTACTCACTAAGATGTAGGCACTGTGGTAATAAGTTGTCCCAAACTCACCAAAGCATGAAACCATATTGGTAACCTTGCATAAAGGTTACTAACCTATTAGTAACCTTGCATAAATTGAAAGTTAGGCTTTGTTATTACCTTCCTAATGAATTAAAATTTGTTGAGTTCTGGAGTAATTTGGCAGCTGGATCAATCAGAGTTGGATGAAAATAAGCCTGTGCTTTTCTGACAAAAGAAAAGTTGTGGAATTCATCTCATATCTTTAATTTCAATCAGTCAAAAAAACTTGCAGTCACTTAAAATGCATTGTGAGATATTTTTGTTCCAAGGCAAAAAACTTACAGGTTTGTTATTAGGTGTATGCAGGAGAAAACCCTGTAAACAAAGATCATTGTGTTACAATGCAAATATTTAATGGGCAATTGTGAGGCAAAATGTGATATAAGAATGAAAAATAGTGAAATTAGGCTTGTGCAGGGAAGGAAGATTTAGAGTGCAGCATCTAAATTTGAGGAATTTTTACAAACAGAAATTTGGTAACTGCAGGATACTATTTTGTACTGCTTTTTAGACTACATGTGTCTATTATTCTGTAGTGTTGGATAGTTACCATAATTGTGAATCTCACGGTGATTTTTGGGAAGCTAGGCTTTTAAGATAAGAGGAACCTTGCATTGCTGCAAGTCAGACCAATGATGACAAGTTCACAATTATGCTTGATCTCTAGATAAAGTACTTTATGCACAAGTTGGCCATAGGTATTCTTAGATTTTAATTTTATGTGCCCTTGTGTAATTCATGTCTTTTAATCCTGGTATTGCAAATCACCATAATTACAAATAAACAGAGGAAACTTTATACAGCAAGCAGACACTACCTTGACATTAAACACAAGTCAGTGAAAAGAGGCTATTGTTTACTGAGTATGGTGTGGTTGCCCACGAATGCAGCATTCAGATTGGTAAAAGAGAGGTGCTACCCTTTTAATACATACCAGTAGGTTATTGATGATTAAAGGCAAACATGGTGTCATGTAATACAAACCTTCAAATATTAAAAGTAAGGATCAAGGAAGAGATGTGATCAATTTAAAGGAGGAAGGATGAGAAAAAACTAGTAAATTGTCCCCAGATGTAGGGGATGTAGAGGATGTTTTGCCCGAATGCCAACAAGATACAATTAAAGTTGCATATTTCAACTATTTTTAGTTGCAATAGGAACACAATAAAAGTTTGGGAAGGACAAAATTTGGATACTATTGTGTTGATATTTTGCATGCTAACTGTCATAAGTTATAATAAGTTAAGGGGGTAAACTATTTAGGTTGGACTCAGCTGCATTTAGAGATGTCAGAGCAAAGTGAAAATGTTTTACACATCAGCCATAGAAGTCTTACAGAACATTTTCCAGCAAATTTGAAATTTAAAGGTGTACAAATGGATAAACTTGATTGTTATCAACTTCTTTCATACTGTGGAAACCTGAATGGTTAAAAGAATGGTTTAGGATGTTTTTTTTTCTACAAAATAATGAAAGCTGGATTTCATAAGTTTTCTTTACTTAAAAAAAGATTCCAAAAGGAGAACAGTTTGTGATCTCCTAAGGATGAGTTTTCAACCCTACTGAATTTTCAAAGAAGAGAGATTTGAGACTAAGGTTTCCCCAGTGCTTTGTTTGTGTGTGTCAAGTTCTTTTTTGAAAGACTCTAGTTTTTAAATACTACACGTTTAACACCGCAAAATGAGTGCACATTTAATCTATTTGCCAGATGGAGGAATATTTAGATATAAAGATGGGTAGATGTGATTAGACTGAAAATAGATAATTAACAGAATAATCCAAGTACAAATCTAACAACTACAAGAATAACAACAAAGCTACATGAAATAGAAATGAACCTACAATTTGTGGCATAACCAGGACTGGCAGTAAACAAAAAGCAACAAGGCACTAGCAAAAACTAACAAAAAGACTGACTTAGGTAGTTGAAATCAACTAGCCATGAGAATTATCTAACAAAAACAATGTGTACACTGGCAAGAAATAAATTGCTGCCAGAGTTACCTAATTCTTACATAACTTAATGCAAAAACAATAACTTAATTGAATAGAAACAGAACTGCATTACATATAATCACAATAGCACTACAGCTGAAAGAAAATGATATAAAGTCACTTTGCAGTTGTCTGACAATAAATAGAAATGCAGGTTCTAGTTGCTACAACTCCTTTCCACAGTCAAAACTGTGGCTGGTTGTTAATATGTACTTTTGAATAGAAAAGCAGGTTGTGAGCACCTGTGTACTGCCTTTAGTTGAGTTTCTATTTTACATTGTGTCCACGGATTGTCGACTAGACCTGAAAAATCGGACCACTTTACCATTTGAATGTCTACATCTTTGTAGATCACTAACAATACTTCTCTGTGGCTCCCATGGGAATTTCATAAGTTGAATAAGTTTTCAGTCAATACCCAGCCTGATTTTCCTGTTATGTTTAACAATGAAAGAGCACTTGCAAACTCAGCACTTTGGCACACTTTGTGTTTTATTATTTTCTTATTTTTATTATTTCCTCTATTTCAACAATGACAACCCTTGAATGATTACAACAAGATAAAGAAAACAGAGAATGATATATTATAGCAAGCTAATTAGATGCCCTTTACACTATAGTACATTTTTTCATACAATAAAACAAAAGCATTACATATAAAGACTTTGCATACAACTCTTTTGCCACAATTTATGATCATTTGAGCTATCTTTGATCAAAATGTCTCATTTTGAGATTTGCTGTCATTATTTTATCCAATTCTGTTGGCAAATAACTTTGGCACTTTTCACTATTAAGTTGTTAAATATGAAACTAGAATCGGAAAACAGTGGTGTCCATTAGCAGGCTCTAATTTTTGTCCCAAAACCCTTGCAGACCTCTTGCACACTTAAACTTGCTTGCTGAAAACAACACTTTGCTACTTGTATCTCATCACTAATGATAGCCTGCTTCACAGCAGGCAAAGGAAACTGAGGATTGAACTCATCACATCAACAGCTACTCCAACAGAGGCTCGTATATACAGCAAATTTAGAGTAAAATTACTGGACATTTTTTTTTGTCACTATCAACAAGGTGTTTTGTGCTTTTGACTTAACTATACTTCCCTGCTCCTTTGGGTTTTGCATTTTACAAAGACTAATTAAAGTAATTTTTTTCTGATTTTTAGGTCTGGTGATATCACTAAACTGAATACCATTGCAATAGTTAACACAACAAATGAATCTTTAAGTAGCAAAGGAATGTTAAGTGAAAGAATCCATCGGGCAGCAGGTCTAGAACTCTTGCAGGAATGTAAAACACAGTTACTTGGTAAGATAAGTCTGTTCTAGTTCTTTATCATCAGATGAACAATATATGTTTTAAAACTGTCCTGGAGCTGAATCAGTATTAAATTTTTGATAGCTACCTGTATGTTGTAGTATTTTTTCCCTCAAATTTCCTTCCCTTTAATTTATCAGTTAATTAGTCTGTGAGGCAGTATTGTGTGCAACTCAGGTTCAGTGTTGTAAAGTGGTGTATCTCTGTTGGCATTTTTTTCTAATTTAAAATTGAAATGTGATGTCATAATTGCTGTCAGGGTGCAGGACTGGAGAAGCTAAAATTTCAAAGGGTTATGGTCTGCCAGCAAGGTATGTAATATAATAACCTTCATTCACACTACAATTCTAACCTTTCAAGACCAAATGTTTGAGTAACATTTTTACTGTGTGCAATACTTTTGTTACACCTAATGAAGATTGAACAATTAGTTCATGTTTAGTGTCATGATATATCAAGATATAGATGCATGCAGGAAGTTGAAATTGGAGGGAAAATGCTGTAATGAGGATGGACATCTTTTTGTTGTATTTGCCTATATAAAAATGAGTGTTATACAAATAATTTACAAATGTGAATTTTTGGAATTAGTAAATATAACTGGCTTATTTATGATGAAAACTCCCAAACAAAATATTACCCCTGAACAAAAATGTTGTTGAGGTAGCAACTTTTTATCCTTTTAATGATATGTTATGTGGTCATGTTTTAACTGTAGTGTATCTTGCATTCACTTTACCTGTGGTTCCATCACTTATTAGCTTTATTTAGAGGTTAAACAGTCCTCATTTTGTAACTTGTAGATTTGTTATTCACACTGTGGGTCCACGATACAACATCAAATACAAAACTGCGGCAGAGAGTGCTCTTTTCTCTTGTTACAGAAGTGTAATGAAAATAGTGAGGTGGGTAATTTCAGAATTGTTGGACATTTCATGGGAAATACTGTAAGTTATTGGTCAGTACCAGTCTATATGACTTATGTCATGAATAAAAAAGTCAAACCTGACTTACCTAATGGTAGGTTAAAGTTTATTTTTAATTCTTTGAGGAAACCAAATGCAAACCATAGATTCCTTTGAGAGGTATGTGGGTAGTATAGGAAATCAATCAAAAGCAAGTACTAGCCAACAAAAAACAGGGAAATGGGAAACAATTTTAAATCTTTTAGAACCCAGAGGAGTTAGGCCACTCTTGTAAGAACATTCTTGTACATGACTTGCAAGATTACTTCCAAGAACAATTTTGCTTTTTTTATCCATGTAACAAAGTTATTGATACCATGAGAATGGCTAACAGAATAACTAATTTCACATATTATATGATTTAGAGAGAACAGGATTGCCTCAGTTGGTCTCTGTGTGATAAACACATCCAGGAGAGGCTACCCCCCTGAGGATGGTGCCCACATAGCTTTACGTAAGTCTTGATTAGAAGTTTCTTTGGCCATCAGATTTTGTTGATTTGTTTTTTTATTAAAGGAAGAATAAAATAATATTGTTGATCCTGTATACCTGTCTTCTCTATGGGTCTTATTAAATAATCAATGTCTTTTTGTGTAATTATTTTTGTTGTTTTTGTTTTTCTTCAATATTCTTTTTTCTAACATCTCCTCATGTCAAAGTTCTATTACCAAGCTTGTATAGATTAAAACAGTTATTCATTAATGTCAACATCCACATGTATGTTTTTAGCTTTTCTTAGAAAACACAGATGCAGGATTTGATAGTTTTATGTTTTGGTTGCAGGAACTGTTAGACGATTTCTGGAAAAGTTTTCTGATATTGAACTTGTTATTTTTGCTGCTGAAAATGCTGATGAGGTACAAGGGGTAATTTTTTTTTTTTTAACCTTTTGTGTCATTCATCCTAACTACTTGAATTTTTTACTGGTTTTTTTGCAAGGCCATATACAAGAATGTCATGCCTCTGTACTTCCCTAGAAGCAAAGAAGAGGAAGACTATGTGTTGAATAAACTTCCAGATGACATTGGTGAGCTGAAATTTCTTTTTCTGTCATAGATTCGGCAGCTGACATGAGAAACTAACTATAAAAGATAATTTCAATTTCAATCCTGGAAGGTTGCAACCTTAACACCAGTTGAAAGTTACTCATGCAGACTTAGCAGAATATTTAGTTTCTTCTCTGTCATTGCATTTGCTAGGGAATGAAAATGGTGAACCAGTGATTGCTGAAAGACAAATTAGAATAATGGATAAACCACTTGGTCAAAGACACTCTGATGATGGTAAGGAATATGTACATTTGCTCCATTATCTCAGCTCTGAGAAAGTACAAACCCTCCTTTTTTATTTAATCCAGTGTCAGCAGATATAATATAGAATAGTGAGTTGATTGGAAAGTGTTTAAAACATGTGCAGATGCTGATGTAGAAGAAGCAGAAGAAGCTGGTGCTATTCACATGTTGGACTCAGCTACTGTTGGCAAACATTCCTTCTCAGCAATGGCAGGAGATCATGATCAACTAACAAGACAACGATTACAAAGATCACCCAGTGAACAACATGCGATTCAACATGAGAGAGTGTAAGAGATTTGAGAAGTCTTCAATTGGCAACCCCACCATACATTGTAGTTACACATTGTAGCCATTGGTTTTAATTGATTTTGAATCTTTTGGTATCCATGTATGACCTGTTCTGTATTAATTGTGTAGGGATGTTGTTTATTTCAGGTATCAGAGATGGCTGCGACGAGCCAGGACAGAAGATTTCTCAAGTCTCCTGAGGCTAAAGATGGTCTACCAATCAGGTTTTGTTTTTGGTTAATTTTTTCCTTTTCACTGACATTTCTCATCCAAATGTTGTTTTTTTTCTAAATGAGCACAAAGTCAGGCAAGTGATGTACAAACTTTTCTTATGTTCTGGCAACATCAAGTGCATTGTTATTATGCCATTAAATCAATCGGAAAGTGCAGATTTATTGATTTGATGTAGTATTGATGGAACACAATCCTCCATGGATCAGTCACAACATATCTTTTCCATGAGTTGTAATGTGAGTAATTTTCAATTGTTCTTTCTGACTTATTCACTAACTCTGTGGTGTGGCAACCGATATTTGGGCATTATTTTAATAACCACAATATTAAATCTGTGTTATGTAGGTGTGGATTTTCTTGGCAGACCTGTTATAGTATTTGTTGGTCGACATTTTCAAGCAAGAAGTGTAGACTTAAATAAGGTTTGTTCCTGTATGCTGTAGAGGTGGTCAAAGTCTGCAGAATTGATACTTACACCCCTCCCTCTAAGAAGTGACCCACCAAAATCAGGTGATCGAATTTGTGTTACAGATCAAAACCCAACTTGTTAACCTTTAGATAGACATGGTGTATGTTGTTCTGCGGTTATTTTGTCTTATACTAAGAGTTGTTTTTGGTGGTCTACTCGAGAAGTGTTTTTAATTAGTTGAGCATGAATTGCAATCTTTAATTTTTTCTCGTAAACATCGATCGGTGATGATGAGGTCATGGAACTGTGTTCATGTTGTATTATAAAAGCGAAATTCGTATGTTTGTCTGTGTTGTGAACAGACGAGAGGGGAGGGGGGGGGGGGAGGTCGGAATTGCTTATACTGAAAATCGAAAACAATATCGCCAGACAAGTTTAGATAAACCTAAGCCCAACCCAGACCATAACGACTCGTAGGGTGACTTCTGGGATTGCCACATATGTTCGAGGTTGTGGGTTTTACTTTTGCCTACTGTCTTGTTTTTCAGGCTGTAGCTTACTTCATCTCCGTATTGGACAAGATTGTCAACAGGGATTATGTTATTGTGTACTTGCATACACTGAGTTCAGAGGAAAATCAGCCTCCATTGTCATTTTTGAAAGATATTTATCATTTGGTGGATAACAAGTTAGTTTTTCTCACCTTTGATGTTACTGAGTTAAATCACACTTTGCTTAGAGCTGGCGGGAGGTTGGTTTCATTTAAATTGTTTTTAATCTGCCAACATGGGAGACTAGCCTTTATCCAGGGGATTGGTCAATAATATGAAAACATCGTCAGTAACATTTGTACGTTAGTATCACATGACTTGAGTGACACATATTTCTGCTTGTGCTTAGGTATCGTCGTAATCTTAAAGCCTTTTACATAGTTCACCCTACTGTTTGGGTTAGAATTGTTACGTGGTTTTTCACGACTTTCACCGCTTCCTCAATCAAAGATAAGGTTCACTTTTTGTCTGGAATCCAGTACCTGTATGACTGGATTGATCCTGATCAATTGGAAATTCCGGCCTTCGTCTTAGAGTATGACATGAAGGTATGTGTTTTACCATAATATAACAAAAATGCCCTGGTAACAAACAAAAAATGTGTCCAGAGCAGGTTAGACACACTTTACCCCCGTGAACCTCAAACGGTAGAGTTTTGTTTTGTTTTACTTCTTATTTGTTTTTTTTTTTTTTTTTTTTGGCTTTTGGAAGTAGTTTTTTGTTAGTCGTTTCGTTTGTTGTTAATCTTGTCTATTTTTTCAGGAAAATGGAAATAATTACCACACTCCAGCCAGTACGTACCGCACGGGAAGTCTGTAAGAGTCGTTGTTTAAATTTAAGATGAAACCGATTCCGCCAATAAATTTAGACAGTTACTCATCTTTTGGAAGACATATGGCGGTTATTGCCTCCTCAGACAATAAATGCCATATCTATTCCGGCAGTAAAATGATTCGGCTTACAATTACTCTTCAGTCCGCATCATTCTCGGACCATATTCAAATGATTCTTGTAATGCCTCGTTAAAATTCAGCCACTTTTTCAAGTGGCAGTTTTAGAGATAAGAGGAATTCTTCTTTAATTACTCAGAAAAACTTCGATTAGTGTTAGAATGAATTAGATAAGTCCTATAAATGCATGAACATTAAGGAACTGTTTTTAATACAAACTAATGAAGACGACTTGGAAGTAAGATTGTATCTCTATTTTTCTGAGTTTGTTCCTCGGGGAATTGTCGTCTTTTTTTAGCTCACGGAATGAGGCTTTGATATCTACGATTAGAACAAGGTAGATATGGACAAGATGATATTTCTACAAACACATAGGTGCTACAGGCAACCGAATTTTGCCTTGAGAGAGAGAAGGACCATAGCGAGTGCCACTTTTTCTTCATTTAGATTTATATTGTGTTTCAACTCGGGCTTTTTCTTCGATTGATCCACGATAATTAATACTGTAAATTACAAATGTAGTTAGATCAAGTCTAGAAGCGTCAAAAATTTATTGAAATGAATTGGGAGCAACAAACTGTACTTTTGAATATATGAAAAGGAATAAAGATATTTTTGGAAATTAACGCTTTGGGACTTGTAGGAAGTTTAATGTGGGGTGGTTTGGGGGATTTCAAACGTATTTCTTCCTTGATGGTCGAAATAATTCCTTTCTTATCTTAATTTATCCGTATCAGCTTGACAGCAAATCTTAAACGAAATCTTTCGTAAGCGCTTCAGTTTAAACTAGTGACAGACATGTGACGAAAATAAATTAAACAATAAAAGCTCCCTTAAGGATGTATTCGTTCCGCTGACAGTATATTTCTGTAGATTTACTTTCAGACATAGCTCAAATAACTTGTATATAAATAAATGTGGGTTCGTGAGTTCCCACCATTATATTTAGTGAGGATTTTAATCATCTCTCCGGCTAAGGAATGAATTATTTTGAAGTAATATCGTTTCGCTGGTGCACTCATTTCAGCGGAAAAGAAACAGAGAAATCTGGATAAATATTAAATAAGATAACTGATCTGGAAAGTGTCAAGTTGTTGAAATGTAAATTTTAGAGCGTGTTTTTCATTGAAAACGATCCTTGACGCTGAAGGAAGGAAGTTGATATAATATCGTGACAAAATTTTCGTCTAGTTCAGGTTATCAATCTTGTTTATTACAAAAGATTTTCCTCTTAATCAGTGTTTACTACTGAGCCCTTGACTTACTTTTGAATATTTTGTATCTTTACAGTATAATTAAATGAAAAAATGAGTTAAACTTAGTATTTTGTACATATATAAATGATTCTAAGAAGGATTTTTGGAATATACTTTCAAAAGATTAAAGTTTACTTCCGATGGGATGCATATTTATTTTATTTTATTTTTTTTTAGAGGGAGAGATTTTATTCCCGTTTGTAGAAACTTACTCCAACGAATTCCTTTCCCTTGGTTTAGTTCACGAAGGAGATTTCGAATACTTCGCACAATCCGTTGGGAAATTTCGGAATTAAAAACAGGAGTTTCCGACATTGATCGTAATTTTATTAATTTAGCAGTGAAACTTCCTCTCGTACTGCGTATTGGTTGAAGCTATTTATTTTCGTAGAGCTTGAGAACAATTCTACCAGTTTTTTTCCGTATACAAATAAAACTCTTGTAATCTCTGACGTCACTTAAACGTTCAAAAACTCATTTAATTTCGTCCCTTTGTGTTCATGAATAATGCGAGGCACGAGGGCTGATAATGCTATCTTACGCCTTCGATCTGAATTATTGACGCACATTCCCTAATGATCTTCGTGCTGCGTCAACTTTCCGGGAAGAAATCAAACCTCTCTGAGAATCTTGATCATCGCATAGAGTGTTTTTTCGCAAGCCTTGTTATTTTCTGCCAGAGAATGTATACAACCCAAAAGGCAGGAAGCTAAGGCAATTTGCTGAAACATGAAATTTTATCTAATATGTTTACGAATTGTGGGCGGGATGTGGGCTGATAAAACCCCATCATGTCATTGGTTGTAATAATATCCTGTCACCCCTAACTCTCGTGCTGTTGCCAAGAGACTGAGTTGTATTGTCTCTCTAGCCAATCAGATCGTGCAAATTATGACTGCGACATGATATCTTCTTGTCGTCGGCAAATTTTTACCACTACATCGGTAAATTTACACAGTTTGTATTCCCTAAACGAACGATCCAGAGATCTCTACATTCTTACTATAGTAGACGACAGTGCAGAAGAAAAGAGCGGATATGGAGCTTAAAAACAACTGCCAAGTTCTCACATTCAACCAGCTCACTCGTCTTCACAGTGTATTAAACCAAACTGTCTTCATTCATGGCCGAGGAAATTTTCCTACTCTAGAAGTACCCCTCAAAGATTTTATAGAGACTGTGACAGCAGGCCTTAAAGAGGAAGGATTAAAAGTCCGCGACCTCCGATTGAATGGAAGTACTGCCAGCAATATCTTAAGTACAGAGAACAACTGTTCGTACAATGATATTGACTTGATCTTCGGTGTGGAGATTCGCTCTAATTTGCACTTACAGCAGATCAAGTGTGTCGTGTTGAACTCGCTTCTCAATTTCTTCCCCAGTGAAGTACCGAAGGATAGAATCAATAGCTGCATCTTGAAAGAAGCCTATGTTCAAAAGATGGTGAAAGTGTCGACTGACAACGATCGTTGGTCGTTAATCTCGCTTTGGAACAACCAAGGGAAAAACGTCGAACTGAAATTCGTCGACTCGATGCGTAGGCAGTTTGAATTCTCGGTTGATTCGTTTCAAATTATCCTCGATTCCCTTTTTGGCTTCTACAAACTGTCGCCAGTGCCGATGAAGCCTAATTTCTTCCCTACCGTTGTTGCCGAGTCGGTTTACGGCGATATTAAGCTTGCCCTCTATCATTTAGACAACAAACTGATAGCTACCCGTAACCCGGAGGAAATACGAGGTGGTGGTCTCCTTAAGTACTGCAATCTTTTGGTGCGAAATTATGTACCAGAAAACTACGAAGAGATCAAGATCCTAGAGAGATACATGTGTAGTCGTTTCTTTATCGACTTCAGCGATATCCATCAGCAGCAACAGAAGTTGGAGAGTTACTTGGCAAATCATTTCATCGGAGACGAGCGAGCTCAATATGAATATTTGATGGTTCTTTATCATATTGTTTCATCCTCCACGGTTTGCCTCATGGGACACGAACGAAAACAAACCCTTCGCCTTATAGACTTTTTAGGAAAGCAGCATCGCGGTGAAGTGAGTTATATGCCGATGGTGGTGTACAGCGATAAGACAGCATCTTATCCATTCGTTCCTGCTTCTGGTTACATGGTGCCTGTATCGACCAGAAGTCAAACATTAAGTACCTATGCTTATAACAGTTTAGTTCCGTGTTTTTAAAGAACGTTTCAAGAACGTTACCGCAATGAAAACTTTGAAACTAGACCTCCAATGAAGGTATGCGTCACATTCGCCACTGGATTCTCTGAACTTTGGAAGTGAGTCTATATTTTTATAATGAGGGAGCAGAGGGTAGTTTATTTTCAACGTTGTAACCCGTAGTTATTTCTAGGTACGGTATAAACATACTTGTCTATCACCGTATTGGTGTGCGAGGGACGTGAAGCAAGCCTTAAAATGTAATTCGTTTCGTGAAGAAACAGAGAAGGAAGTTCTTCACAATCCCCGAATACTGTTGTTATGTAAATACGCCGTTTGGAACGGCCAAACTAGACGTTCGTGCTTAATGTAATTTCGCAATTTCACACTATATATTTGTGATGAACTTGCTTTGGAACAGTGACTGAAATACGATAGAAACATTACTCACCACGATTAGTGTCTCATAATTAATAAGTACCGAGTAGAATATGAAATAATCTCCCGAGAGGGAAAGTAACTTTTATGGTTTTGTTTTGAATAAATGAAGCGTTTATTTTTCGTTGGGTTGATATTTTGACCGAGCAAAATGATTATGTAACAAGTCGTGTTCTCTTTTTCCTTAAGGGAAACCATTACATCCAATTTTATTGCTTTTATCAATACTGTTAGTCGAGGACGGAATGTACTTGTCAAGAAATTCTAAGCTATGGTCGTACCGCTTCTGTTCAAAACTGTTAATTCCGGTATGACGAAGGGCTCTAATGATCTTTAACCTTAGACGCCGATCATAGGCGCTTAATTTGCATATACACCAACCACAGGCCACCGATCACTTCACTGATGTGAGAATGCTGCAAATATAGGCATTTCCGATCACTTTTCGAAATAAGCGTTCTTTCAAGGCGAATTTGGTATTAGTCGCAGGTGTAACGTGAAATTTCAAATAGAAATGAAATTTATTGGTGTAGCCACGGCGGTTTGCACAATTAATCTCAAGTTCCTAATACCAGTTAAAACAACAAGTGCGGAAAGTGTCTCGACTTAACACAGATAAGACTCCTTAAATGAACAAAACTTATCACCCAAACACTCCTTATGTTCTTAGAACTACTTTCTAAATGAAGCTTTTAAGTCACTGACCGATGATGCGACAGCAAACAGGAAAACACCACTCAATATACACAGTGGTGTCGGTTAAAACCTGATTTACATTTTTAAGAAACTTCTAGTTACAGATTTTTAACCCTGGGTTAAATTGTTGTGTGGGCGTCTGTGAACGGTAAAGGAAATTTTCTTTCTCTAAAAACAATATGTTTCATTTTTCCTCTTCATAGAATTAACGATGCCCTGAAAAATATTGAACTTTTCGTTGCCATTACCAGGCAATATTGGTAAGCTTTAAAAAGATGGCCTTTGAAAATATCTGCTTCAAAAAAATTTATTCGGAGAATTCCAGGACCGTGGAATTACTTCCTAGCAACTGCAAGTCCGGATCCATGTAGGAAGGACAATAAACCCGATCTAATAATAGAGTGGTGGCTGTTAGATCAAAATTTCCAAGAAATTTCTTTTAGGACTTTAACGACTCTCATGCTCTCGTGTCGGCTGCAGGTTTCAGGCGGCAACTGTAGAAAAGAAGAGAAAATGCTGTTTTGTGGAGAACATATATCTCCTGAAAGTCTTGGATATTTCGCTCAAGTACTTCCAAGAAGCGCGGTTACCTTCAACAAAACTCAAAAACAAAAAGAAAACCGTGAGTAGTGGGATCTCACGAACTAATCCTGAAATTTCACACAGTTGCCTCATTGTTCCTTGGCGAGGAGGAAGGTCTTCCCATTTGTAGCAATCCTTTGTTGAAAATTGTAGAAGAAAAAACTTGCTCAGACACTAGGTGGGCTCTGTTGATCAGCATGCCTTAACAATAAGTTTTCTAACAGGTGTGTAAATCATTATAAAAGTTTTATTTAAAAAAATATTAGTTACCGAATAAGACGGTTATTTTCACGCCACATTTAATTATTTTGTCCTGATATTGCTCAGGCGGTTGATCTAAATAACCCGCAAAAAAAATGAAAAAAGAGCCACATTTGTTGATATCTTCAGTGTGTTATCAAACGTGCTTGCTCAGCTGAAACCTTGCCGGAGCACTCAACTATAGATACTTACAAATCCCTTTTGAAAATCTACTTACATGCTGCACTTGTTCCTCAGTAAATAGAGACCAGTTGTCTTTGGAACTGCACATCATTTCAACAATAAAGCAACACTTCTAATGTTGTATCCAATGAAGTTTTTGGCTGAGAAGGTCGCATGCGTAGGCTGGCATCATAGCCGAGAGGATAGGCAACACAGCATTTCCAGGTGCCATTGTGGTCTCTCAAAAGATTTTGTCTTGTGATAAATTTCATTCGGAGTTTGGTGGGTGGAATTGGATTATTATCATCAATGTATGGATCAAACTTGTGCTGAAAATTCTCTTTCTACACCTCACTTCGGAATTGAATTGAGAAGCTTCCTTCAGACCTTAATGACTGCTTAAGATCATACAGGATAATCGTTACTAGATTAATGAAAGTTTCCACCTCCCCATCGCGTTTTATTTAGTACTCCATATTAAAAATTGAAGTTCGCATTCATGCTTCCTTTACTGAGTATGGTTCCCATGTTACCGATAACTAAACATTGTAATTGTTATTTTCATCAATATCTTTTATGTTATTATCGAACAAAAGTTCAGGAAAGAGGATGTTCCTTGTATCTCTGTTCGAATGTGACTCTTCAAAAACGTGGGTATGCTGATGATGGCTTTTGAAAACTGAGTGTTAGAAGAAGCGCCGATATGTTTTAGCACGGCCCCTCTCTCGATTTTTCTCCATTGTAACAGATGGGAAAACTTTTTTCTCTTATAAATGAACACAATAAGATATCCTATTTAAAATTTTTATCAACGGTCTGAATAGAGAAGTGATGCTGGATTTTTCTTTGTTTGAAAATAACACAAATATTATAATGACGTCTGCCACCCACTCTCTTCCTAGCTTTTTTTTGTTGTGGAAAATTTTCTCATTGCACAGGTAGTTCAGATTTAACCACAAAAACACACAATATTTAAATTGTTTTTGTCTTTTTTTAACGAAACATTTTTATCCTCTTTTCTGATCAAACTGAAAAGAAGAAAAAGAAAGCATGGTTCATGGCATGTACCGCAGTTATTATATTTTTGCTTCAATGTAGTTGTAAACATCTCAGTTCAGGTTGTCACTGAAAATTTAACAGATCCTGATCCACTGATCAAACTTTCACAGTGGCTCGTAAAATCTCGAAATTTGTAATTTTAACTTTTATCTAAATTTTAATTTTTACTTAACGGAGCTCAACAGCCAAGATATAAACATTCAGGTACTTGGTTGGCCGAGTCAGAAGAATGGGTACTAAAAAATCCGTAGTACTGGAATCGATTAATTTCCAACATGGCGGGTGTCCGCGAATTGTCAAAGCTTTTAAAATCGCACTTGTTGCATTTTCCCAGGAAATCTCACCCCCTAGGAGGCTCTCGAAGTGCATTTCAAACATATGGTAGATGTGCTTCAACATTGACATTCGTTCCTGATTCTCCGTCACCTCTTGATGGTAAGCTATAGACAAAACCAAACTCATTAACCAAACAGAGAACAATATTTAGACTGAACTAGATTTATTTTGCTAAGTTACATTAACCTAGTAGACATTTAAATCTGATAAAATTTATTATAACTTCTTATGTTTTTTGAAAGTGAAATATCTACCTCAAGTTGCGGTGGTCGAAATCAGATATTTCCTAATTGACGGCAATCGATACATGCGACGCACCTTCCAACAAAACTCTTTACTAAACATACCTTAATTAAGTTTCCATTCATTTATTACGGGGAGCAAATCGAACTCAATACTGTCCTAGAAAACAAAATTTTGTATCAAATAATTTGATGTACAGAACTTTTAATACTATTATAATGTAATAGTGTAGTTTGATCGTCTGAGTGAGTGTAGTCCTGAGAAGGACAGTCACCACTGCTGACAACATTCCTTCTCAAGACTAAACTCCCCTGGACGATTAAACTACTACACTCACCAGGATGATCAAACTACACTGTTACATGTTACCCCCAGGTTCAAACCATTTACTCTACCTTGATAATAGTGAAACCTTTCTGTTTGTTAATTTGTTATGCATACAGCCTTTTCAGATCGAATTGGATTAGTCTAGTTACATATGAGGAACTGCCAAAAGGTGTATGTGTATGACTTATACATGTATGGGTGCTGTTGTATGTGCAGTTAGACTCGGTCAATACTGGCATGTTCTACTCGCTAGTTTATCTCTCATAGCTATCCTGCTTGTGCTGTATTGCCTACGACTGAAGAATGTGAACTTCAATCAGGCATCATTAAACAACTGTTTCATAATGAAATGTAGGTTACCATTTCTCATGCCCATGTGCATTTGAATGTAACTGTGGTGTGTAATTAGCTGTTCAAATTATATTTAAATGAGATAAAACATTTGTAAGTTTGAGACATTTCCACAAGTTTCTATGTCTTGCTGCATAGATGGTTATGTTAACTTATGTTGCCTAAAACTTTACCAGTCCCTGTGCCATAATAGTTCTGAGTTCTAGATCTCTTAATTGTAATATGTGTACAGAGTGGTTTACTTCCCATATCAAATCCTCTATTACCCTTTGTTCTAAATATTTGTATATATTATATTGAGCTAAATAGATATGTGATATTTTGAAGGTTCATATTTACTTATCACTATTTTTTTATAAATCCCTTTCCAGGAGAAACTCAAAAAATGAATTTGTTTCAGTCTTTAACAAATGCAATGGATATCATTCTTGATTCAGATCCAACTTCGGGTAAATAAATTTCCTTTTGAATGATTTGTGATATCTGGTTCAAATATTTCAAATTATCTTCATGGAGATGCACATTTAGCCAAACCTAAAGCAGAGCTTCTTACTGAAAGTCTTTTGTTTGTACCTACCCACTTTTAGATGGGTAAGGGTCTGAATTTTAAAGACAAGGAACTGAATAACATCAAACAAAATGATGTATGTTTGTGATGTGTTTGAAGACTATCCTACCAGAAATGCACTTAGTAATATTGAACATATCACTATACTAACTGGGTAATTTACAAAAGCTGTGTTTAAATTTTGTTTTTGTAGTTGTATTTGGAGAGGATGTAGCATTTGGTGGAGTTTTTAGATGTACAGTTGGTCTAAAGGACAAATATGGTGACTAACTTTTTTTGATTGAACCTTAACTATTGTGTCATTTGTCACTGTTTTTTTAGTAGAAACTTTTTATCTGACTGGTAAATTTCAAATCTGAGCATGTATGATATTACTCACCAATCAGTGTTATGTGGATAACTGGTTCACATTTAAAATTGAGTTTTTCTAAGGCACACATTATTCACCCAATGTTTTCCCAGGAAAAGACAGAGTCTTCAACACACCACTCAGTGAACAAGGAATTGTTGGTTTTGGAATTGGAATGGCTGCAGCAGGTGCTACAGCTATTGCTGAGATTCAGTTTGCTGATTATATTTTCCCTGCATTTGATCAGGTGAAAAGAAACTCAGTGGAATTATATAAAAAAGCTTGTTTATTACACACTGCATCTGGGAAATTAAAATCAGACTTAATATAATATTTCAAAATTTTTTTCGTCCAAAAGCTGGCAATTTTTACTGGCTGTTTTCTGGTGATAGGCACAGCTAACAGAAAAAAACAATAACCAAAAAATTTCACTTATATTGTCCAGCAAGTTTTGTAAGTTATTCAGTGCTTTCAATAAGACCTGGCACCCGCTGGAGCTCCGGCAGGTATTCTGTTGTGAATCGCTGGGTATACTTTGTCACATCCAAGTCAAATTAACAGAACAAAAAAAAGAAATAAATCACATTCAAAATAATAGCCAATTTAGTGTTGGAGTGTTCACCTCATTTAATTCTTTGGTCCTTTTTTTTTAGATTCATTCTTTCAATAGAAGTTTTCTTTTTCTGCTTGTTTTGGGTGTTCTTCAAAAATTGACCATGTGTGAAATCAAAGTACATATCTTTGGTTGCCTGAAATGGTCTTTTAAACAATTTTGTGCTGAACTAAAATCATGAAATACTTTTGGAAAAATAAAACAACAGCAGTTCAACTTAACCGCTAGTTGAAAATCAAAAATGATAAAACAGCTTGCTTGTTGATAGGCTAGGAAATCAAATTTGGAACTTTTTCACAAAGATGTTAACTTTAACCTAGGCTTAACTATGAACTCAAGATAGAAATGAAAACAGCCATTGAACACTCAGCATTAACCCTTGTATTAAAAAAAAAAAACAAGCTGCTTTTTCAGTGAAAATTGAGGAAGACCTTTTTCTAATTGTTTAGGATGTAATATGAAACATGAGTTGTGGGAACAGCCAAAATTCATTGGCTGATTGATTTAATTCAATTATGTTAATATTTAAACAGTTATGGTGGCTAAATCTGTCGACAATGAACAATTCTGCAGACAAAAGTATTCTTGGGGTTTTTCCAAGAAACAAAACTGGTGGAATTCACTACCTCATATTTTTAATTTCACCCACTAAAAAAAATTAAAAAATAAAATAAAAAAAGACTTGAAATCACATAAAATTAGTTCAGTATTTCGAGGTAGAAGACTGATAGGTTTGAACAAAGATCATGGCTTTACAATGCAAATATTATAAGCGACTGTGAGTCAAAAAAGGATGTATGAATGGAAAACGATGGTATCTCAGTGGCTTGGCCAGGGGAAGAAAGGTTTTAATAGTAACATTGAAATTTGAGAACATGTGCATACGGAAATTTGATGCACACAGGATATTAGCTTGTATTATTTTTATTGACTGCTGGTTGAAAGTGTGAAGTACTAAGCAATGTTGGGTGGTCACTGCCATTCTGGATCTTTCTGTAACTTTGTGGAATCTTTCAAACACACTCAACAAATGAGACATAAAACACCTCGACATCCTTTAGTTGATAAACAAGTTTTGAGTAAAAACCATTGGTATTGTCTTGTCATACCAAATATCACATTTCCAGGAAAAATAAGATTTTGAGTGAACAAGAACATCCTGACACAAATTTCAGTAACCAGTAACCATATGTCCCTTCAGAAGACTTTTTGTGTGAAATTCGGGCAGCAGGTTTGCAAGTCGGCAATGGAAGATTTGATTAGAAATAAACAACCAGTTAAACAATTATTACAAAGGAGACCAATATTCATTGATCATTTACCAAAGTTCAACACAAAAAACTCAGTTTGAAGCCAATTTATTCTGAATGGAACTAGTGGGCTAATGAGAGCAAAATTGTTTTTTCATATTTTTCTCCTGCGGGTGCTTTACCAAGGTAGCCATGCACTTACTTCAAATCTTATTGAAAGTACTGTACACTGTAAGCCCTCATATTTTTGTAAGTTTTTAAAAACACTAAGTTTTTTGTAAGTGAAAACATATGAAGGAGTTTAAGAGATTATTTACTTAATATTATCATAACAGAACATGAATTGCATCCTTGAATTATATTTATCTTAAATTGCAAGATGAATGAATAATTGTTGCTTTCACTGGTACCTTGTATTGAAAATTTTATATGTAAGGTCATCTGATTAATTTGTACTGCCCCTAACTTTCAATGAGATGTTCTCTTATTATTTTAGCTGGTGAATGAAGCTGCAAAGTTTAGGTATCGGTCAGGAAATCTTTTCAACTGTGGAAGCTTAACTGTACGAGCACCATGTGGGGCTGTTGGCCATGGGGCTCATTATCATTCACAGTCTGTGGAAAGTTTCTTTGCTCATGTTCCAGGATTGAAGGTAAACAAAAGCCTTTTTGAAATTTATATATATATATATATATATAAGTGAAAGAGTCAAAGAGGACACATCGATTCTTTGTTACTCTGAGTTTCGCGCCTAAGCACTCATCAGAGTTCTGTCTGTCTCTACCCCCACGTTTATGGGGGTAGAGTCTACCTTGGCATAAAGTGCTCAATGCTGTGGTAGCAGAGCTGAATATATATAAGTGAAAGAATCAAAGAGGACGCATTGATTCTCTGCTACTCTGAGTTTTGTGCCTAAGTACTTGTCAGTTCTCGTAAGTTCTGTCTTAGGGTTAGGGTTAGGGTTAGGGTTAGGGCACTTAGGCGCAAAACTCAGAGTAATCGATGCATCCTCTTTGATTCTTTAACTTATATATACATATATATTGTAAGATTGTTTGTAAACACATCTTATTTTTCAACCACAGCTAGGTGGGTTACCTCACCTACCTGGAGTCCCCCACTACCATGTAAACCAGCTCTAAATTAGAGAACATGATGAACCCTAACCATCAACCTTTTAAGTTGTATTAGGAGTCTAAAAATTTTGCATTGTACCCTTTTTCAGGTCGTTATACCAAGGGGGCCAATTCAAGCAAAAGGACTACTCCTCTCTTCTATCAGAGACAAGAATCCAGTTGTATTTTTTGAACCCAAGATCTTGTACAGACAAGCAGTTGAAGAAGTTCCTGTGGGAGACTATGAAATCCCACTCTCTGAGGCAGAAATTCTAGAGGAGGGTATGTTAAACCTTCAGAGGTGAAGTGATTTTTGACTTGTTATTATAACATTGCACATTATTGTTGTTTTTTTGTTTGTAGGTTCAGATGTAACAGTAGTGGGGTGGGGCACACAGATCCATGTCTTACGAGATGTCTGTAAAATGGCAAAAGATCAGCTAGGAGTGAGCTGTGAACTTATTGATCTCAGGACAATTCTTCCTTGGGATGAAGACACCGTCTTCAAGGTAATTTTGTTATTCCCAAAATATATCTTTCTGTTATAATTTATATATAAATATGTAGTTTGATTTTAGTAACAGGCATGTTCAAAGAGTGAAATGTTAGAAATGAATGTAATTATAATAAGAGTTAAAATGATAATATTGTCTCTTTATAGTGTAGCTGTGTTGTAAAAAAGAAATCAGTATTTGACACAGATTGAGCCTGGCATAGAAGTTCTAAAGAAACTAATAACAACAATATATATACACATCAAAGATGTGGTTAGATAAGCTGTGTCTCTGGGTGCATAGCTAAGGAGAACGACAGTGAGTCTTCTTCTTTAAAAGCAGACAAGTAGGGAATAATGAGACATGAAAATAATCTGTATACATCAAAGATAAAAACTGATAAAAGCAATTTAAATATATTGACATGAAACTCCCAACAGAGTTTACATGTATATGTGCTGAAAATTTAGACCATACATAAGTATCCATTCCTCAAAAGAAAATAAATCAAAGGTATAGCTTTGTAGGGAAATCAACTGTTGTATAAAGGAACAAATTTACAAATGATATTTATAATTAAAGGTTTATCTGTCTTATTAGTCTGTGATGAAGACTGGGAGATTGTTAATAGCACATGAAGCTACTCTTACAGGAGGATTTGGAGCAGAAATAAGTAGCACTGTACAGGTTAGAGATACTTGTGAATTAAATTGAGTATATTTTTTTGTAGACAATCAAGGGATGGATAGTGCAATAAACTTTCTCAGCCTATGTCATCACTCAACCCTTTAACTCCCATAGTGATCAAGACAGAGTTTCTCCTTACAATATCAACACAATATCAAGCAGACAAGTGATGAGAATAAAGAAAAATGTCAATTAGGAGATTATAAGGCAATCCAATACCAAATTCTCCAAACTAACATCACAAGAACTGTATGGCAGACAGTAAGGAGAATTACTAATGAGATCTTGGAAGTTAAAGGGTTAATAAACAGTAACAGTAACTTTGCTTGTCAGTCAGTTACTTCAAAAACACTTAAAGAGCCTCAAAATGATTTCATCATTTTTAAACAACATTTACTTAATGGTCGAATACTTCACCCTTCTTTGTGTGTTGGGATGAAAATGATATCAAAAATCCCAATTTCTAAATTTGAGATGATCACCTTTCTAACATGAATTGTGCAATATCAGCACTACATCTTTTTGAAACACCCTGTAATTAATTGAAGTATTACATGAAGTATAACATGCCTGTAAGTTGAAAGTAGGTTTGTTGACCCCCATTTTTTATTACTGAAAATGATCTACAGGAAATGTGTTATATAGATCAGAACCACCTTAAATCATGAAAACAGTAGGCACTGATAATTTGAGAATTTGTGAAAAGATGATTCTTGATATGGTGATTGCATTTCGGGCATAAGGAATAGGTATTACCAAGCTTAAAGTTATAAATGTACTGGCATATTAAGCTTAAATTTGAGGGTGTTGCCAAGAGATTTTAATTTTCAATGCTACAAGGTATGATGTTCTGGCCTATTCACAAGACCTGTACTAGTTTCCACTGTGCTATAGGGATTTTAGATATACAAACGAATGTAATTTTTACAAGGTTTCGTTTCTTCCTTGTTGTAGGAACATTGTTTCTTGTCACTTGAGGCCCCCATCCAGCGAGTGTGTGGCTGGGACACACCCTTCCCTCACATATTTGAGCCATTTTACCTTCCAGACAAGTGGAGATGTTTTGAGGCCCTCAAAAAAATCATTAGCTATTAGGAATTTAACTTGCTTTCATACACTATGAAAGCTTAATTAAATATATTTTGTAGCCTTAAAAGTTACCTAATGGATCTCTTTATAGCACTTTTTGGACTTGAATTTCAATTTTACTTCAAAATGAAGTCCACTTTCTTACAGACAGCACATATCTTCATTTACAAGTTAGTCCTGTGGAAGTGATCAAACATCTTTTATTTAGTTATTCCAAAAAGTTGTATTTATATTTAATTTAAGATTTAACTATTTTAACTTAGGATAATTTATATTACCAGAAGTATACAACCTAGCTTATATGCTACTGATGAAATAGATAGTTGATGGTAGTAGCAGAGGTTTCCCATACATTTCAGTTAATAACTCAAAGCTGAAGAAGGCAACCTAGGTGAAAAAGATCATATCTAGATAATAATTTTGGTCTTGATGCAGGTATGTTCTCATCACAAACCACTACTTCCATTAGGAGCACTTCTGAACAAAGTATAATGACTGTGAGGGAGAGATTTCTGATTAGAATATTAGAATAAAAGGATGGATGGTGCAGGCCTATCTATGATTCATCACAATTTGTCCTTTGTAGCTTAAGGGTTCATCTTCATCATCAAAGAAAATGATAGGCCAATAGGGCTACCTTTACTTAAATTGGTCTCCTTATTTAAGATAGAAAATTCAGAAATGAGTGTATACTGTTTTGACATTAAAGGCCATTCGGGGTAAAGGTTTCTAATGGACTGACAAGTCCTACAAGGCAGCTTTAAGCATTCCACCAAAATAATGGGACTAAAAAACAAGAACATGGGTGAATATTGTGAATCTGGACTGTAAACATAACAAGAGGCAATGAAGTATACAACCAAAGGAGCACACAAAAAGTCAGTGGTAAAAGGCAGTAAATAGGCAAGTACATCTAATATAGGTCATTCACTGCCTTGACCATTTTCTCAGCAATTTATTGTGTTTAGAGTGTGCTCATTACAGTGGTGAAGACAGCTTAGAAGCATGTTATCACAGTTTATTTTTTCACTCTTAAAACTTGAAATTACAAAAAAAAATGTACTTGGAAATGTACATAGGAGACAAATGCCCAGAAATGTACAGGAGAGACCTTTAAATTTCACTTGGAGCCATCAATAATATGGTTGCCAATGTTTGCAAAAATATCTTAACTACAAGTTAGGTTTGAGAATTAAATTCGTTGTAAACCATATCCCCATTTCTGACTATCTATGATGTGCAGCCATACATCGAAGAAGTTTAAATCAGCTTCCATAGTTGATAATTACTTCAGTACCATTCATTGTTAGCTTTTTCTACAAAGAAATCTACCAAGTATAAAAAACAAATTAAGTGATAAATTTTGGAATCAAAGGTAACCTCATTGTTGATGTCATATAAAATGTCCAATTAGCATATCAAAAACTCACCAGAGCAATCTAAGAAAACCAAGATACTATCCCTCAGTGACATTTGTGTCTTGGGTTCATTTAAATAAAAATGCAACACAAAAGCCATGACATCAAAACTCTCCCAAACAACATTCTGGAGGGTTTGGAAGACCTGAGTATGGTCAACAAACAGCTGGTCAGCTACTTGTCCTGGCAAGGTCAAATGTGTTATCACCTGGTATTGGACAACTATCCTTAGTTAAATTAGTAAGCTTTTAACAAAGGACTAGAGGGGCCAATGGCAGCAACTTTCATTTCTTGGAAAAAAGGCTTTAAATTTGTTACCCTAGTTGGCCTGGAAAAACATGTATCGCATGTAATCCAAAACATTTCTGACCACTTTAAACAAGATGACATTCATGACTGATTTTAAAAAATACCCATCCACCTTGTCCAAAGCTCAGCATTCCTTTGCAGCCATCACCAGGAAGTCACTGTCACTGATACCCATTCAATCAAAAACAAGCTTGAGGGAGACTACATCCATGAATTGATGGCTGAAGGAAAGGGAAGAAATTGAGGAGAGAGGATGGGTTATTTTTGATCAGTAAAAACTTGTAATTCCATTTGTTTTTACACTATATGTCCAAAACTGGACAGCTTATTTTGCAAGTATCTTACATCCACACATGACCTATTTGGGTGAGTTCTAGTTTTATTGAATGGTAAAATAAATTTGTTGTCTAACTAGTACGACACTGTATTGGGGTTTCAGTGTCATCTTCATCACTACCCTCTCCCATGGTGAATCTTGATCTGTATCCCATGTTCATAAGCATCACTTCCAAAGGATCAGCATTCATTCTACGCTGATTTGCCCTTGCAGCAGCTTCAACTTCATCTATAAGTCTATCTTGTATATCTCCACTCCTTGGACATGGACTCCACAATCTGATTACAGGATCAATTCCACTTGTAGCCAGAAGACACATGCTTGGATGTGGTTGCAAGCAATTCACAATAGAATCATCTCCCTTTAGAACTCTCACTAAATTTGTTGTCTCTTTGTCCCACATGAAAAATGAACCATCATCACTGCCTGCCACAATAAACTGTCCGTTGTTGCCAAAAAAGTTGGACTCTTTTATATCTGTAGTTGTGTTACAATGTCCACAGAACCGCCGATCGTAATCAAGTGCTCCAGCTCGAAATTCTTTCTCTTGATCAGACACAATGCTAGGCCGTCTCCTGCGCCGATTTGGAAGTGGTTCAGACTGAGCATTTGACTCTCCTTCACTGTTTTCTAGACATATAAGAGTATCTCAAGTCACTAAGAATAACACTGACTCAAGCTAATCACAAAAATGCTGAATGAAACAATCATAACAACATTGTTCTCAAACCTGTTATGAATAATTTCTGGCTGTAATTTTTTGTTCAGTTTTCATCAGAGTTTCTGTTGAAAGAGACTCTGCTCTTTTCCTCTGACTACCCCAGAGGTGGAAGCAGGTAGGCACAAATTGATTTTATCAGGAAATTTGAGACTTCCATTAGATACCAGCCTATTTGACCCAATCCTAGATAGTTTGCACATGACAATTTGCCACTAGGAAACTAAAATTGTCAGTGAAAGTGATGCAATTGCTGGTTTACATATTTCATAGTGAATTAGCATACATCAAGGTTTTCAAACATCCAGACCCAGAAATAACATTGAACTTATTACTGTCCAAGTACACCCACCACAAGTCTCAGCAAATGCAGCAGCTCTGATATCTCTCTCTAATGTTTTTGCTGCACTTCCTTCTGCTTGCTCTGGAAATTTTAACTTGAAATGATTGAGGCAGGAGAGGGCCTCCTGGAACCAGTGTAGTTCATACAAACATCGAGCTTGACGAAAATGGGCCTTAGTATGATTTGGGTCTAATCCCAGAGCTCTGTAGCAGTCACGCAAAGCAGCATAGATGTCCCCATCCCTGTAAAGAACGAAAAAAACAATTTGTTTGAAATAAGCATTTTGTTATCTCAGCCAAAGTGGAAGTTAATAGCAATAGTTTCCCCTAGTTATGAATCAAGAAATAGTCTTTATTTGAGGACAGTGGCCCATGCTGTAGTATGAAGCCACCAAGAGTATTGTCCCTCCCCCACAATCTGATGTGAAGCTGGTCCTTCCCAGACTTCCCCCTAGCATTGCAATCCCTTTCCCATTATCAGGATCCATTTCTACTTTTGGTTGGTAGAAGCACCATGAGAGTTAAGTGAGAGTTAAGAGTGTTGTGTGAGAACACAATCCAACTACCCTGCTAGGTCTTGAACCCAAACCTCAGGCTGACCATTTGGGTCACTGTGTTTCCCACTCCCATGAGGCATTCTGATCCCTAAACTTTTTTGTAATATCTTTGTGACAATAAATGAGGAGTCAGTTTGTAATACAATAATCACTTTCCCACATATCTTGCAAAACACAGCTAAGTCAGGTCATTACATACCAAGCCCTCTTAATATAAGCAGCAGCCCTGTTTGCATATAGGACAGCAGAATCAGATGCATGGACTATTGCTTCATTATACAAGTTAACTGCTGTCCAAAACTGTTGTTGGCAGAAGGCATCATTCCCTTTCTCTTTAAGTTGAAGTGCTTTCAGGGGCAATTGCTGGGAGGTGTTAGTTGAAGAACTGCAGCCACTTATAGGCTTTGAAGATCTTTTCTCTGAGACAGTTTTCTTTCCATTTAAGGCTGGGACCTTGTAACCATTTGTAGATCCATTAAGAGAATTTAAAAATCCATTTTTCCCTGAAGGAATACCAAAATTACCTACTACGTTTTTCACCACACCATTCGATGTAGGTGATGAACAAAGTCCATTAAAACCTTGATACCTCATGGCTTTGCGATGGCGTTTAATATCAAACAAATATATTTGTTCACCACCTAAATTTGCAATAAGTTCACATCCATTTGGTGAAAAATTCACATAGGTGGCAACATAGGCTCGAAATCGTCTCCGTGAATCTTTGCTCAGCTGTGGTGGCAAATGGCCAGGAGCAAAGTACTGAACACAACCAGGGGGAAGCTTTAAATCCTCAGTACAGCTGCTGTTACCACTAGAGGGTCTCTTGACCTCAGCAGACAAACTATAAGATGCTAACATTCTGTGGTCATATAATCGCACAAAAGGATCATTGCAGCCAACAGCAAGAAGTTCAGGTTGTAAAGGATTTATTGCTAGACACTTTGCCTCTGCCATGGCACCAACATAAATGTTGAGATTTATGAGTACATTCTTGCAGTTCTTACTGCTTGTATTACAGTTGTGAGGTTGCCGCAAATCAAATTGCCTGTTGAAAACAACACATTATGCAGCAATTATTTTCAAACCAGGATTGACTAAATGCAAACCAGGAAAAGAGAAGCCTATAATCTTTGAACAGTTTAGTGCCATTCATTTTGCAGACTCTCCATAAACTAATTACAAACACCAAGACACAAGTGCAGAACAAAAATTCAATTTAAAGCCAGTATCTTTACTTATCATGGGCTCAAAGAAACTCTTTCATTCAACGAGATTAAATGAGATTAAACTCCCTGGAATTGAACTCAAACCTGGCTTTGCCAACAAGGCATTCAGCAGTATGCTCTGTACCACACAGCCTTATTAGCATATTACAATACCACAAATAAATCATTCATTCATAAGTTATATATCAAAGAAAGATGTTTTTTCCTCGTCACAAGCATGGGACAAACAAAAAATTCTGAGTCCCCAAGAGGAATTGAACCTCAGACCTTTGGATTCCACACTGCGATGCTCTACCACTGAGCCACAGACTCTACTATGAAGTTCATATGACATGTGTCCTGCATACTGTTAGGATCAGCAATGTCAATAATGTCATGTTTGTAAATAGAATACGAGAGATGGTAAGTTTTGACCTCAGTAAAGAAATAGATTATTCTATTTATAAACATAATGCTATTGACATTGCTGATCCTAGCAGTATGCAGGATTTGAGTAATATGAACTTCATAATAGATCTTGTTCACCGTAGCATCTTTGTGGCTCACTGGTAGAGCATCAAAGCATGGAATGTGAAGGTCTGAGGTTCCATTCCTGATGGGGACTCAGAATTTTTCTTTGTCTCAAGCTTGTCACAAGATGAAAAAACATCTTTCTCTATTTCTTTAACAAAATTTCTATTACTCTATTTCTTTCAGGAAAATAAGATCTTTTTTTTATGCATATCACATCACCTTTATGTTTCACCAGTTTACTACTACATCGATATTTAGGCTAATAGATCAATTACCTTATGGTTCCATCTTCAGATGCACTCCACAACATATACGGAGTATCTGGAGCTGTAGCTAGTCTCTTCACACGTCCAATATGACATTTATATACCTGTGATGTTTCTTGTGTTTCCACTGTATGAATCTGAACTTTAGCATCGGCAGCAGCTGTTGCAATTATTCGAGCTCCAATCTGTGGCAAGAACTAGAAAGCACAATGTGGATAATTTTTTTTAATGGTTACATAGAGGAATACCATAATGTGGCAAAATCCAGTCTCATCACATTCTCAGACCAGAGCAGTCACAACCTCAATACTAATACAAGCCCCCTATAGTAGCCTCATCCAACCAAGCCTGCAGTTTTCCGCCTAGCCTATTCCTCAGAACAAGTCATACCCCCTCCCCCTCCCCCTCCCCCCCATGCCTTAATATCACTCATTGCTCTAACTTCAAAGGTTCTAGGACTCCCTAAATATTACCAGTGGTACAGTGATGACATGGGAAGTCAAATTTTTATCTACTATATGGTAAGCATCTTCTTGAATGTAATACCTTGACAGAGAAGATGTTTCCTGAGTGGCCTGTTTTAATGCAGCACTTTTTGTGACGTCTCAGAGGGTCCCATAATATAGCATTTAGATCATCTGAACCAGACAAAAGAAGACTGCAAGAGGAGCACACATTGCTATAAATTTTTACCTTTACATGTCACAAGGTGAACACATTAGAGTACAAACAACAGTTAAAAGTTAATAACTAACCATACATTAAAATAATTATAATCAATATTGTGTAATTATTATATAATTATTACCTAAAATACTTGGTGTCATTTGCTGTTGGCAGTAAAGGAAACCCGGTTACAAACTATCACTTACTTTCCATTTTCATTCCACTCCAAACAATTAACACATCCAGAATGACCCTAGTTGAAAAACATGATAGTTTAATTAGTAACAAAAACAGGCTACCGAGCCTTGGCAAAATGGAAACCCTTCTATAGTTTAAAACCTGCAGTACCTTTTTAACATGTTTCCGAATATTCTGATCGTCTATTAATCCAGAAAAGAGTATTAATCCCATTTCCTCTAAAACATAACTTGATGACACGAAAGCTCCCGTGGACTAAAGCGTCTATTATCGTTACTGGCAAGCTTATATCGGATCTCTTATAGGACAACATAAGAAAAAGCAATATCCTCACCACAATTGTGAGTCACAAAATAATTCCATAAAAAAACCTCAGAAATTTGAATTAAGTGGCCCCAGCTAAATTTCAAGATCAACTGGTCCTATGTAAGAAGACGTCAAAGTTTCGCTAGCATTAATTAAGTTGGTCAACATTCCTGTTTATTTCAAAGCGCTTTCTTAACGAATGGCAAAACTGATTTACGATTTCTGCATCAAATTAGGCAAAACGCTGGGCAAGTTTCACACTTCCGCGAACCATGCAATCTAGAAAACACAGTTGCTTAGCCTCAGTTGTGGATAGGAAAAAATATATATATACTGAATCCGACAGAAAACCCGGCAGACTAAAAATAAACATTGAAAAGACTTGGATTTGAATTGTAGCTAGCAAGAAAGAGTTTGTCTGATAATATTATGACGCTGATTTTTAATTCAGCAAAACCTTACATTACCTCGAGCTCTGTTTCGAGTCCAAGCCTTTCAACAAAAGGTTGATGGAGTTGAAATCTTCTCTGGAAAGCTCGCGTGATGGACGACTATAGAGAAGACAATTCAAAAATGAAGAAAAAATGTAGGGTTAAACTGCGCTCCAACGCTGTGTATTATTCAAATTCAGAAAAAAAAAACCTTACCTTGACTTCACGATCCCTAATAAACGTTGCGATATTATTTGTTTCCATAACTCTTTTTGATCGTTCTTCCCTCGTAAAATCAAACTGTTTTCTGCAGTACAGCAGTTTGCCGTGCTCAAAACATCTCCACTTTCGTGTTCGTGTCAGAAGTGCGTACTTGATTGACAAGCGACTTATAATTTACAAATTCTTGCTCACAAAATCCAGGCTCTTCACTTATACTAAGCTTGGTATTTAGAACTTTAAAGTTGTATGAAAGCTAAGACTTTGATATTCTTTACCCTCGACATTAGAAGACACATTAAAAATAAAAACTCTACACGGGTAAATGTTTCCGTGCTCATGTTAAAGCAATCTGATAGCTGAGACACCAAGCCTTGATGTAGGCGGAGGGAAGGTGCAGTCCCACCGCGGCCTTCGTAACCGAAACAAAGCTAATATCGATTCATGTTTCAGTATGTTGGCAAATATCAAACGAAACAAACTTCAGGGGCTCTGTAGAATCAAGAGAAAAACTGATTACGACGTACGAACGGTGATGAGGTCAATATAAATATCCTCTCCACAGACCCCAGTTAACCAGAAGTGAATTCTACGGATTTCTTTCTTCAAAGGAAGAAGTTCATACTAGTAGATCAGATGAGTAGGTCCTGAGGTTAGCGTTGGAGTATATTGTTTTTGAAATTAAATTAAACAGAAGAAGGCTGGAATTGTGGAATGCTTTAACCCTTCACCACCAAAATCTAAATAAGCATTCAGTGGCTCTTTTTGTTGGGTGTCAAACGATCATCTCTTTGGTTAATATTTTCTCTCTACACGTCTGTGTTAAACTTAGATATTACTTTTTTGTCTCCCATGGGGGTGAGAGAGTTAAGATATTCTGATGTTTTAACAAGCTTTTCTTGTAAAAAGTTCAAAGAGACTCTTGAACAATATCTGTCTGCTCAGCTAAATTAGCAGGGTTTGTATCCAAACGGTTTAACTTTATTGGTTGGAAACTGGTTTCACGCAGCGATTGCGTTTGGAAGAGAGGAGTCCTAGGAAGAATAAGAATGGCAACAAAATAGTAATAACCAAATAAAACGAACATAGATCTCATGTATCAAGAAGCTATGCAACATAACCATGTCAGAATTTATTACGCTTCAGATAATGAGTATAAAAATATTTACAGTTGAAAGAATAATCAGGGAGAGCAATTTTAGCGATTTAGGACTTAGAACACTCTCTGATGCTCAGCGTTTCTCAGGTCTAAGGGCAGGTGGTTTGAAAGCAGTGCGACCCTTTTTTTCTTTCTTCTTTTTCCCTCCAGCTTGAAACGTTCTCCAACTATCTACGCGGTTTGTGCGACTTTCCTTTCAAAGGGAAATGAAAGTTAGAGTAAATAATTGTAATCAAACGAATCTAAAATTATTACAAAGCTGAAACAGCATGATAAGGGAATATAGGTTTCTTAAATAACTTGGAAAACTCTCATCAAACAGCTTCAAACTAAAGGGCTTGTCACTTAAGTTTATTTTCACCAAAAGGATATTAATTTCAAAGGAAAAGCTTATGCTGTACTTGAACTTTGGAATATGCCTTATTTTCAATTGAACTTACCTCCCATTGTTTTTCCCACTCTTTCTTCTTCTTTGTTGCTTCTTCTTCAGCTATCTCTTGTTCACGTTGTCGCTTCCTGTATGAAGGTCAAACTCGTGTTTATGAACAAAATGTTTTGCTAAAAAATGCAATTAGAGTGGATTGATGCTATGGCTGCATATATAGTTATATGCTTGCAAAAGCATTGGACTACATGAACAGGAATACAGCCAATTGACTGGAATGCTAAATCTCAAAGAGTGACAAATCACTTTGCTTTCTACTATTTTCTCCTGCAGTAGTTTTACCTCAGCTCAGTATCTTTTTCCTCTTGTGCCCTCCTCTTAATTTCATAATCAGCAAACAGTTTGACAGTTGTGGAGTGGACTAGTTTTGATAACTATAGATAGAATACAAACAAAAGTATATTGAAATCATTGTGGTTTTAATTCAATCATCTTTATACTACAATAAAAGATACAGGATTTACTTGTCATGATATCATCATCATCACCATCAAATCTCCATGTAAAGTGACACAAATCTACACTATTGTCACTTTGTGAGGCATAGCAGTGTATTTTGCAAGCTAAAATGTATTTTGGCCTGCTTACATACCCCTGTGATTGTTCAGACTGTGTATTTTTCCAGCTATTATTTCCTCAATCCCTTCCAAGTGATAATATTTGACTTAAGTTAATGTTCGGGGGCGTACAAATGTTTAAGCCCTTGTCAGATCTAAAATGACACTGAGTCACATCCAAAACATATTTATGCCCACAAACAACATCTCTTGATTTATTAGTGTCGCTATCAACACTGTCCTCCTGACTACAAACTAGTTTGTACAATCGTGATCTGTATGAATTTGTATTGTTTTCATTTGTACAATTTCTTGCTCTCAGTGTCAAGTAAATAAAATAGTTGTTTGCTGTAACTATTAAAGTTTGGACAGTTTAGATTTTCTTAACTCTCAGTTCAGTTTTACAATGTATTTTTTATTCATTTGGGTTTATTCATAGACAGTTTGGTGTGCATAAAAGCACAAGGTCAACACTGGGCGAACAAATTACTTCTGAATGTCATCTATTAACACTTCCTTGATTGAAATATCACACTTAAGATAACAAGCAGGATATATATTTCAGTTTTAACTTGAAACAAACTATTTAACCATTATAGAATCTTCCAACAATAATGATTCAGATAGACTAGTACTTATATTTCTTCTACAATGCACGTGGTGAGTATTAAAACACAAACTTGCTCCATGCAAAAGGATCATATGTGTAAAATTCCTGATAAACTGAACATTATCGTTTCTTTACCTTATCTGGATCTTCCTCTTCTTCAATCTTCTCTCTGCCCTCTTTCCTTGCCTGCTTTTTCTTTTCCTTAAGCTAAAATAGGACACCCTGGTTTAGCTGCACAGTTCACAAAAATATATACTATTGAAGTATGCCCTTACATCATTACACCCTCCATCGATTCATGAAAAAAAAATAAAGTTGGAGTAATATGATTTATTGAACAAAGAAAAAATTAAGAACACATATCAGTGATGATATAGCCCCTAGATATAAATTATAACCAAAGAAAACTTGAAGCATGCCTGTCTAAGCCAAATATTTCACAGCAACAATCAATGATGATTTGTAATTAAAAAATTTATTTTGCACAATAATCATGTTTACTATAAACTTTATAGTAAGATAATAACACTTAACAAGTTTGTATATTATCAGGCAATTGAAATATTCAGGACTTTGCACTCATAAAGCAGTCCTCACATACATTTGAATCACTAAGAATTCTCCCAGAGATGCACATATATGTATAATGCATGTCTTTGTGTCATGTTCATGATTAATTTAGTATCAACACTGAAAATTTATTTTCCCATAGATTAGTTTTAGGGTTTTTGTTGTAAGTGATCATTTCCAGCCTTTCCAGACAATGATATATGAAGAATATCTAACATTCCCATTTCCTAGACAGAAGTCACTTACATTAGCCTTGACCATTGCTTGTGCTTCTTCAAGAATTTCATGAACCTTTTTCATTCTGTCATTATCCAAAAGTAACTGATGAGCATTACTGACAGCTGGAGTGATTAGATGTGGGTAGAAAAACAGATGAATAAATAAGTACAAACATTGACAGTACACCAGGTGGTCTGATATACTTCAAGTCAAACTTAAATAGTCCAAAGGCTTGTTTACATTGGAGCTCTATCAGCCAATAAAATGTCAGTTTTTAAGCTAACAAACTGATTGGGTTGGACATCATAAGCCATCCCCAACGGTTAATGATAAAAGTATGTGGGAGTTTCATTGATGTATGGAGCAGCAAGGTATCTGGATCTGGCATGCAGGCATGCCTTATACAAGGCTTGATGGTTCTTGCCCTAGCAACTGTAGGTACTCAGCATGTGTGCTTCCCGAAAAGTTTGAAATTTGTCAGTTACAGATGCATTTTTGTGCATTTTGGAGCAGAAACATGCTTCAGTTCCCAAACATGTATCAATACTTAAGATAACAGAGTGATGACTTAATTCACCCATCAAAGGGTTGACAAGTGCAAATAATCAATCATTTACTTGTCAAATCTGTATATCTTATTAGTTAATACACTTTTTCATTTTAGGAGACACATGAGAAAATATGGGGCAGTAACAAATATGTTATTGTTAGGGTTAGGGTTACTGGCTTTCAAAAGATCCACAACTGTTAAGTTATCACATGGTAAATGAGAAAGTACCCTTAAGTCCCCAACATTTTTGTAAAGTTTTCAGAGCAATCTCACAGGGTGAGATCACAAACATTTTGTGATTCACTTAAGTTCCATTGTCCAATTTCCATCTTTGATACACAAATTTGAATCATAAAAACCCTGTTTTTCACCTTTTATATTTAACAGCTTATTGAGCTGATTGATTTAATATTCTGTCAACATTAACCAGATATTATTTTCCACTATTTATAAATGGAAATATGGTGCTAATGCTGATGGTCAGGGCTATTGCACTGCGTATCATAGTCCTGCTTTTGCAACAACATTTCTTCTTTCAAAATGGAAGTCATGTTCACAACAACTTTAAACCAGCACATGGTGGTTTAAGTAAACCCTTGGCAGATATTTCTCCGTATTTGTGCCCTTCTTGGGTGTCAACGAAAGATGCAGTACTCCTACAAGCTACCCTTTGCATTACAAATATGGCTTTGCTTCTTCCCCAACAAGCATTTGCATATATCACTACTTGGTCTTTTATTGTCTGGTGATGTTCAAAGAAATCCGGTCCCGTTCCTACAAGTCATGGATTAAACCTATGTCACGGGACATTCAGCATCTAACTGACAGTAAGTTTGAAGAGATAAAAACCATGTTTCTTAAGGAACTCAAAGATCTTGATATTCTATTTCTTGCTGAAATGTTTTGTTCCAGTAAAATAACAGACTCATTTTACAATATTCCTGGTTATGCACTATTTTAAAAGGACAGGGTTGGCAAAAAAGGCCATGGAATTCTGGCTTTCATAACCAACTCGACCTTTGTCAAAAAAAGGTCTAACTTTCAAGTTTCTGATATAGAATAATTATGGCTGAGGGTATGCTCCCATAAATCAAAGCCTTCCTCATTTATTGGAGGTATTTACTGGCCATCTTCTAATAAAGTCAAGGATGATAAGAAATAAGGCAAGAACATCAAAAACATACAACTAAGAAACAGAGAAATGGTTTTAATGGGTGACCTCAAAGTAGATTTTTCAAACTCGGCCAAATTAAAAAAATATCACTTATGAAAATATTGTGTGATTTGCGTATGGTCCAGCTTGTAAACACAATTACCAGGCCAGTGTCAGGCACTTACTTGGATCACATTTGGGCCAGTCACCCAGAACGTATGAACAATGTATACACAATGACAGTGGGAATGTCAGATCATTTGCCTATTTTTGAGACCAGAACATACAAACTTGACAATAACAGAAACAATAACAAAGAAAACGAGCAAAATCTTTATCCACCACACAAAGCCACAGGAAAAAGGAATGCTTGTTAAAGATCAGCCAGCCAGCCCACTAGGCTAGTCACCTCAAGAGCTACAATAAACTGCACAAACTTCAATCTGGTTTCAGAAAATCCCTCTTGACTGAGACAGTTCTAATACATTTGATAGATCAGCTACTCTTCGATCTTGACCACAAGAATGTTGTTTCTGGCCTTTGTGAACAATTTACCAGCCACGTATTTGAAAAACATGTTTGCAAATCTTTATATAGTCACCTCAAGAGCTACAATAAACTGCACAAACTTCAATCTGGTTTCAGAAAATCCCTCTTGACTGAGACAGTTCTAATACATTTGATAGATCAGCTACTCTTCGATCTTGACCACAAGAATGTTGTTTCTGGCCTTTGTGAACAATTTACCAGCCACGGTACAGCATTCTACCATTGACATGTATGTGGATGATACAACTTTGAGTAAAAGTGAACAATAGCTCCCATGTTTGGCTGTCGGTAACCTGTCGGCCAGCTGTCGGCCGACACATTACCAACAGCCAGCCGACAGTGTTAACCAGACCGTATGTATCAATTTTTGTATTTACCTACTTCCTAACTTGTATTTCTACACTAAAATAGGCTTGTTTACTTGGTAGCAAAAAGGAAGCTTTTCAATTGCCCTATAATGCATTGCAAAACCATAGTTTACAATAATTCATGTATGTCTGACTAATCTTTCTTTTCTTGTGACAGGTCGCGATCATTGCCTTTTGTGGCGTATTATGACAATTAAAATATTAAAGTATACCTCAAAAATGTGAAAACACTTTGAAAACTCTGGATAAGAGCAGGTAACTCAAAATGATTCATGAAATCGAACCAATATGGGCATGTTTTGCTGCCAACGCAAGCAAGTTAGGCAATAGGCATACTAACTATCTCTCCGCAATTAATTTTTCCTGTCTTGACGTAGTTATTGAAGTGATAAATAAGTAACTGTTTGCAATCATTTCAGCACACGACTTACTGACACATTACCAACAGGTCACCAACAGGTTACCAACAAGCTGCTGACTGTTAGCCAACTGTTGGCCGACACTTTAGTCTATAACATTACAAAAACTGTTGGCTGACTGTTGGCCATCCGTCGGCCAACTGTCGGCCGACGGTCAATCAACAGTTGGTCGACTGTTGCCCAACTTTAGCCGACAGTTGGCCAACAGACGGCCGACAGTATCTTTGGGAACTGTTCTTCACTTTTACCCAACTTTGAGCCATTAATGTGATGTCAACAATACACCAGACATGCTATCTACAAACTTGCAAAGTGACATTGAGGGAATTGTAAAAAGTTCTAATGACAACAAAATGATCCTGAATTAATCAAAAACAAATTGCATGTTTGTAACTGGAAAGAGGCTATGCAAATGTATGGAAAACAAACTCTCAATTCAAGTGAATGGGAAACAGCTGAGACAAGTTGAGTGTCGAAAGCTTCTAGGTGTCTTATTGATGACAAACTTAGCTTTGATGACCATGTCAATGAACTTTGCAAAAGACTGTCACAATGAATTGTCATATTAAAGAAAATTAGACAATTTTTGCCAATCGAGCAGAGGATCTAATACTACAACTCATTAATCAATCAAGTAATGATGTATGGCTCTACTGTATGGACTTCTTGTTCTATGGATAATCTCACCAAAGTCCTAAAGCTACAAAAATGTGCAGCTCGTGTTATATTAAAAGCAGACACCAGAGACAATAGTATTAAGCTCTTTCCTAGATTTGGATGGCTTCCATTTTAAGATGACACAAAAATAAATAATTGTTTACTCATTCATAAGAGCCTAGTAGGTGATTGCCCTCAATATATGAACAGTTTAATTATCAGGAATTCAGATAAACATCATAGGAAAAGTTGATACAGAGAATGGAACCTTGTCTGTAAGAGATTTAATAGGGAAACTGAGGGTGGTTGGAAATTCTCAGTAAGTAATGCAAAACTTTGGAATTCATTTCCAACCAGTGTTAAAGACAAAATTAAGATGTCAAATTCAAATTCAGATCTATGTAAATACCTAAATGACTACTTTTGCCATTTGAATACGGACATTCATCAATTTAAAGTAAATTAGCATTGCCAATTTATTTTACCATATATATTTATACATATATAGGGTATTTTTAGTATATACATGGGATATAATTATTTGATATAGGAGTGCCACAAGCTTATCAGTATTGTAACAGTTTCATGCTACCCTCGATAAATAAAGTTGGACTGATTAATTGATTTAAATAGACTACCACTGAAGAGTGCTTTTTACTTCAGCATGTTAGATGGCAACCACCATTTTGAATTTCTCCTCAACTTTGTGCAAGCTTTCTAGCATTCTCAAGATGTGAGACCAAGAACATTTGAGATTTTCTCAAGTTCTTTCAGCTGACTTCTACCTTTACTGTGACAATACCAATTTTGATAAAAATGACTGACATAGTTCCATTAATAACACATTTTGGAGAAAAATTTGATTAAAAAAAGAATAGACCAACTTGGGTTTACATGTTTAAACAACATATTGACCAGTAGCCATGTCATTCCAGGGGACTCTTTCTTTTGATTGAAATTTTGAAGGAAGCCAGGAAATTCAACGTCACAGACAATCAATTTCCACCTGGTGTCCAACCACTTATGGAAACCCTGCAGTTTGGGCTCTTCCAACATCCCTTACTATCCATGACATAATAAATTTAGAAGAAAGCACCTTGAGTTTAACATCATCCTCACAAAAGAAGAACACTTGCCAATTTCACTGCAAAGACAACAGACTCTCCTGTGATTCTTGACGACAATCAGTCTTGTGAAGTCTGAGGTTTGGAGCAGTTTAACTCTCTAGACACTGACACAACCCCTATTCTTAATATTTGCCCATAAATCTGTCACTTGCTAGTCTATGCCTGCTAATTGCAAACCAAAAGGTGCACCCCTCTGAGTGCTTGCAATAGACAAATGCATTTAAGGAAAACTTTTGAGACTAAATCAAAGCCTTTTGGTAAAATTCAAAATGGTGAATTTGATAATCAATAAAAGTGTCATTTTCCAACTTACAACTGAACAGTATAATATACCTTCAAATGCTTTTTGGGCTCTGTCTGAGTCATCTCTGTTCTTGTCAGGATGGACCAGGAATGACAGCTTTATTTCAAAAAAGATTAGATTGTGGTAAATAAATTTAACTTGTTCATGGCCAGTATCATTATAATAATCAATGTCATAGAGAAAAATCAAAGTAGACAAATATCTTATCATACAGTCATACAAATAAGCCAAAAATTTTCAGAAAACCTCTTCTATAACATTTTCTTTCCAGTTATCAGTATGCACTTTTAGTTGAGGTAAGTCAATCCCTTATGTGTAAAAAGAACTGCAATGAAGCTGCAGCTTAAAAGCATGTCCTTTTTAGAATTCAGCATTTTTGGGAGCACTCTGTGGATAATAGCAAACTTTGGTTGAACTTAATACTAAGCTGCTTTTTGAGAACTGACCTTTCTGTATTGTTTTCTTATTATTTCTTCTTTGGCATCAGTAGGTAGCTGGAGAACCTGGAAAATCAGAAGAAGTGAGCAAAGATTTTCAAGTTTTAAGAAGCAGCACATTTGTTGCAAAATTTCAAGGGGACAAATAAGTTTGTTTACATGTACCTTACCTGTAGCCGGGATTTACATTTGATCTTAAGTGAATGTACACTAAATCATCAAATACTAAAAACTAAATCAAATTTTTTTTACATAAAGCTATAAAATCCTGATTCAAATTAGTTAGTTTTATCAAGAGTATATTACCAAAAAGACATATTGAATTAAATTTAAAATAATCACCTGAAAGTAAGTTGCGAGTATTGAAAGTAATAATGTGGCAATTTTTGAATGATAATCTTCAACTTTTTATTTCTAGGCAGGAATAATTGACCAATCTTCGTTGCAATCCAAGATTACCTTCAATTACATTTTACCTCATAAGGATTCAGATTGAAGTAAGTAGATCCAGGCCTTGTCAGCCTCTCTATCTGCTGTGGTCCAGTTAAAACAGAATCTCGCTTCTCAATCTCTTTGACCTGGAGGTTAAACATTCAACTGAAAAAGGGTTTGCCTAAATAACCTTTTACATATTGTACAGACTTGTGAAAGACCCCGAGGTAAATTTATCAAACCATCAGGGCGCAGCGTTAGTATGATTTTGATTGGTAGTTGATTACATTATATGTTATCGTTATCAAAATAGCCCCGCGAAATTAACATACTATTTTCCAAAATGGCCGCTCGTCTGCCGAGAAATTTCTTCATGTTTCCGAGGAAGAAATAACTGACACGAAAGAAAAGGGGCACTTTATCTGATTATCATCTTAGCACTGCAAAATGAAAATTCTCCTTTGGAGCAAATACAGATGCTAACCCATGCGACCACATCAACAATAGATTTCGTAATCAAAAACCTGGGGTCTCAGTTTAGGCAAGTATACAAAGTTTGGTGTGGAAATAAACATTAAATTTGGTACAAGGGATTAAACTAACCAGTACCTCGGACATAAACCGTGAAAATAATTCGTCAACCTCATCACTCTCTGAGTTTGGTGGAGCTGCCGGTGCTGCCATATTGGAACACATTTAACCCCGTCATGTAAGACAATAACTATATATAGCTTAGACGCTGGCTGAAGGTCCCTGGCTGAAGAGCTTGGGTCGAGTAACAGAGCCCAATTCCCTGGCCGAGTAATCATTGGTTGCACATGTCGAAGTTCACAAGACTTGCTCAGGCGTAGAACAACTGCTATTGCTTTTTTATGTGTTTTCCTTTTACGTTCTACTAACCCATAACAGCAACAATGTCTTGTTCTGTCGCTTCTCCTGAATATCTTAATGAACTTCTCAGCGACAAAACAACGGTATCGAAAATGCCCAAGATATTTCTTCACGCCGAAAGATTGCTGGATCAAGGTACAGTGTTGCGCCAAGTTAACTTCAAATTTAATATAATAATAACTGCAGTTATTATAAATAATCGGTAAATGAACATAAATAATCCCCAGAAGAAAAAAATGTAACTTCGCGAGGTAATATCTAATTCATTTCAGAAGTAGAGTTTGTTCTAACGCGATTTAAAGCGAAAAACGCGGCGACGAAAAATGTAATCGATCGCGGCCAGCGAGCGTGGAGCATAAATCTTCCATTTGTTTGCCCGACATCCGGACACCATTTCCAGTGTTTACCGAACAACGATCGTGTTTTAGGTTAGCATCACTGACACACCAGGGAATACAAGAGATCAACTTCAGGTTTGTTGGACATATGACATTTTGCTTAGTACCTAGGAAAGATTTAGTTAAGCTGAAATTGAAAAATGAACATTGGGTCGGTCGACGCGCTCTTTGCAGTTGCCTTCAAAACTAATCTATAGTATGCGTCTTTGTTGGTCCGCGCGCTCTCGTCTGTCTGCAGAGTTTTGGAAGGATTTCTTATGTTAAAGATGTATTTATTACCCCCTTAAAACTTGCACACTGGAATCTCGGTTGCTTGTATTGTGAACAAACTTGTTGTGATTTTCTGTTTCATTAACTCGTATTCTATTACATTCAACTAGATTTCTTTCCACCCAGTGGGATGTATGAATATTTTATTTGGTAATATGAAAGCCACACTTTTTTGATAACTCGCTTGCTCTTGTTTTATTACGTACTGGCCCACGATTTTGCATAAACCGAAACTAAATAAACTCACAACTAAGAGGGAGATACGATTTAGAGTATTCACGAGGCCGTCAGGAGACCGATCGTGCAGGCTTTATTAAACTGGTTACTTTTGTTAGTTCGCTGCAACCGTGTTTTGTTGTTATTCTTGTATGTAAACAAGCTTAAACATTAGCTTTTACTTGGAAAAGTCTTTTGTGAAGCAGTTTCAACATTTGAAACGCTTGACGGTCCATGAAATTACATGTTATCTTTGAAGGAAAATCGTCACGCTTGGAATTCGTCTCGTTTCTAATTTGACGGGGTCAAATAACTGTGAAAATTTGATGGCTTGTTCTGATTTAGCTGAGATTTATTTATCAGCGAGCGCTCGACCATGTAGTACGATTTAATGGACATAAATGGTTGTATTCGGGGTGTGCCTAGAATTTTTCTTAGCGTTTGCTGAAGCCAGTTCAATTGTTTCGTTTTGTGGCTCTCGAGGAATTCACCCCCAGGAACTTGCTTTGTGAAAATTTGTGTAATAATGATCTTTATCTTGATTAGGGACAGATGCTTTTCATGACACGTATTCTGACCAAACAGAGCAAATCTAAATAATTACAATTATAACTTGGCAATCGGACATGTGCAACCAAAAATTAAGAGGAGCTTTTCAGATGAAAAATAGGATATTTGTGGTTTTGAGCATTTTATTTCAAATGTGGTTTTTTTTAAGCTGGGTGCAATTTTCGTTGAATTGAAAGAGGGCACTGACATGGATATTTTTGTCACGACTCATGCTGTATTTCACAGCCTTCAGAAACTAAAATCGTTGTCGTGTTTGTCAGGATTTATTGGTAGGAAAGCAAATAAATCAAAAGCATCAATTTTCAGCTCTTTTCCTGTCTTTTTTACTTTCTGTCAACAATCATGAAATCTTTTTAATGTTCCCCCAATGCCTGTTGACCACTTTCCTAAATTTAATTTAGGCTTTGTAAACATATCCTTTTTAATCGAAACCTTGAGATTCTGTTTCAGCAGTTTTGGATGCAATGTAGAAGTTGTTTACCAAAAAATAGTAAGAATCTTGAAGGAGTTGTTTTTATTTTTTTTGTTGTTTTTATTTATCAACTTTGCCTTTTCTTATGAATATTTTTCTGTAGTTGGCATCATTAATAGATAAACAAGAATGATGTTTTGTAAACTACCATAATTGCTTTTGGTCTGAGGTAACTATTATCTGTAGGTGAATTTGTTTCAGATTGGAATGAAGTTGTTGAAAGAATTCATTTATATTTTTAAAGGCTTTATTACCTGCTCATTTTTTGTACTAAGGTTTGATATCCAAAACTAAACTAAAATGCTGTTTTTGCTTTCAAGATTAGGAACCTAAATTGATTTTTGTCTTTTCATTCACTTCTCTCTTTACAGAAATGATAAGTTGGATTCACAGTAGTTCTTTTAAATGAGTTGTCATGGACACCCTATGTGGGAATTTGATGTTTTTTCATAGTGTGTTAAGGAACAGGCATTAAATCACTGGATGGCAATCATTGTTAGTTTGTTTTAAGAAAGTAAGGTGTAGGAATCATATGATCTCTACCTTCCTGAAAAGTCACATCTAGATTGAAAGTGTAACGATATACACAAATTTCTCCTTATTTTATTCCATGAAAAGGCTAAATAATTCAAAGCTCTTGTTTGTACTATGTAGGAGTAAATGCATTATGGGTCTTAAACTATTATAAATGAAACAATTTTAACACTGAGTTTTGTTCTCAACAAGAGCACAGAATCTAAAGCTCTGAGGTTCATTTCATCATGGGGACTCAGAATTTTTTTCTTTGTCCTGTGCTGGTGAGAAGATGAAGAAACATCATTCTCTATTTCTTTACAGAGCTCAAAACTTACCATCTCTCTTATTTTGTTCTATTTGCCAGAACTCTATTTTCAGTAGCATTGTTATAAGTCTTATCTTGTGATAGTGAATGTCAGTCTAGGCTTTAGGCAGGTTGATTGACATTTTGATGTCTGTGTACTATCCTTAACTTTGATCACTTGGAAATGCAGTCAGAATGTGACTTTAATGAGCATCTTTTCACCTTTCAAGTGATGTGGATGGCTCAAATGAAAAGAAAGACATTCAGTGTTTATGGGGAAAAGCAGAGTGTTGTTAGCATGTTATTTGCTGCTTATTTCCCCATCAGCTCTCCTCTAACTTGGCTTTCTTCTCACAATAAGTACTAAAACAAGTTAAATATCTTTTAAATAAACAGTTGTGTTGTGTGGTTGAAACAAAACACTTTCTTCCCTGTACAGAAATAAGCAGAGTTAGAAATGAGCTCTTCCATGGAGTGATCAAGAATGAACCAGACGGAGTGTTTGGGGAACTTCAACTTCCAGCTTCTTCAGGGCCTAGAGTAAAATTGTCAGAAAAGGTCTATGCCCCAGTCAAAGAATACCCAAAGGTAAAGTTCACTCTGCTCTTGCTTCACTTTCTATTTTGACATTTCCTTTAGAAAAAGCTTCTATTTAGTTTTGTAGTTCTTGTAGATTACCTACTGTATGCTGCTACCTGAATGAACCATTAAATGACATTCAATTCTATAAAATTTCATTATGTAGTATTTTAGATTTATGTTGCAGATTTCAGAAAATTGCCTTGTCTTTCAAATTTAATGTTATGTCAGTAATGAATCAAACCTTAGATGTGCTAATCTTAAAGCACATGTATTTTGAATCCAGTCATATGCACTTAGTTGCACACCTCTAAGGTTTTAATTTGTTTTGATCTCTTTTTGCAGTTTAATTTTGTTGGTAGAGTAATCGGCCCACGGGGAATGACTTTAAGAGAAGTTGAATCTTCTACTGGATGCAAACTGTTAGTCAGAGGAAAAGGTTCTATGAAAGATAAAAAATTGGTTAGTTTTGTCACATGTACAAAGGAGTCTCAAATATCTGTCAAAATAGTGAATTCAAGGATGACGTCTGTGATAAATCCTCTTTATACATGCAGGAAGAAGAGAAACGGGGCCAACCGAACTATGAACACTTAGAGGAGGATCTGCACGTGCTCATATCAGTGGAAGATACAGAGGAGAGAGCAAAGTTGAGACTTGCAAAAGCTGTTGAAAAAGCCAAAGATCTTCTTCAACCTGTGGTATGTTGGCTTGGCTTTGTGTTTTCTTGCCACTAGAAGGCCATTTATAAATGGCAACCTTCCACATATCATCAATTATGATTTCCTTTTAGGATGAGGGAGAAGATGAATTAAAAAAGAAACAGTTGAAAGACCTGGCATTAATGAATGGCACTTTGAGGGAACAAGCAGGTTTGTCAACAAAATTAAAAGAGCAAGTCTAAATGTTCATATTTAATATTATCAGACTAAAGTCACAGCTTTTCAAACCATATCAGCAATTGTTATGAAAAATTTGCTTACAGTGAGATTTGGGGTTTGCTCTCTGCTGCTTTAGTTTTGGTTGCCATGGCAATTGGAATATAATTTGGTTCTTAACTAGCTGCATAAGTTGTTTCTTTAGCAGACTGACACCATATAATATTGAACATACTGTCCTACTAAGGGAAAACCAAGCTTTTATTTCATCAAATATTTAGGTGAGGATTTTAGGCTGTCAAATAGCAACTTTTAACAATTTAAGCTTAGTGCATTGGGAACAAATCTTGATGGTTTGTTTATAGCCTGCTTGTGACTTCTAGGATGCTTTTTTTCACCGGAAGATACTATTTGTGTAGGCAATACTCCAGTTATACACAATGGTCTTCTGGGGATGCCTCTTCCACCTGCCTTAGCTGGATATGGGTTTGCAAGACCTCCTGGTATGTGATGTTGTCAATGCTTCATTCCATGTTTGGTTGTAATTTTATGCAGAGAAAATTCAAATATTTTATAGGGTATATCAGCTCAGACAGAAGTTTCTATACCTTGAATATCAGCAGGGAAGGTTTGTTAGTTACTCTTGACTTAAATGGGGTGAAGTTTGAAGTTATGGGCTGCAGATGATTAAATCTCACAACCTGAGCTAAAACAAGAGTTGTAGTGGAATACAGTCAGTGACAATTTGTATATTTTTTTCTCAGTTCCAAGTGCATACCCTGCCAGCCTTTCAGGACTGGAATTTGCATCATATGCAACCAGACCAGGAACCATTTTTGACTATGGACTGGAAACTTCCATCCTTGGTGAGTCTGACTTAACAAGTTTACTAACAAGCCTGACACAATGACCCACAAAAGAGTATCGTTTGGAGGTGAGCCAGAAAAATGAAATCAAGAATATTAACTGTAAGTGCATCATAAATAGAAAAAGCAAAGGATCACTAGACACAAAAGTATTGCCTGTGGTCCATAACGTATCTTTTGACATTGAGAACAAATGATCAACATTAATAACGGTAAAGTTGGTAATGTTTTCATCAATATTTAGGTGCAGTTAAACCACGGAGACCTATACGGGAACATCCTTACCAAAGATGAAGTAAGTTAGCCATTGATAAAATCAATCTTACTTCAGGTAGAACCTGTTTGAAACAACAAAATTTTAAGGACTCTATTATTATTTGATGAATTGCACCATCATCTTTCAAGCAGTGTCAGTCTGATCACTCCTTACACCTTACAAAAACTCACAGGTGTTTCTTCCCTGGAGTTTAAATGGTTTTAAGTACAGTTTTCATAAATTGATAGGAAGAGACAGTAATTTCATATTGTAATTACTGCTAAAACTTTTATCCTGAGTTCATATACTTATATCATGAAGCAAAATGTACATTGAAATTGTAATTCCATTCATGAAACCTTGTATGGAAGACAGCTTTACTAGTATTATCCTAGTAAATTTAAACAGAATTTTTCTTCCCTCATCTAACAAGCTTGCATTAATGACTATATGAGAGTAAAATATGTGGACATGAGCAGTCTTTCCATCATTGCTATTTAACGTAAAGTAATTGATACTAACACATAACTTCTCTTTCTTACTAGACTAATTCTGCAGAAGACCAACTAATAACCAGGCTAAATGTAAAGCCTGGAGAAACTGCTAAAGTTCTTTGTGTTGTGCCTGCAGTCTGCACTTGACTATGGACTAATTGATTACTGTCTATTGCAAAAAATGAGTTTTGTAACAAATGATCCTAATATATTTCTGTATGTTTGAAGAGAATTTATCAGATTTAATAATGTAATATATACTGAAATTTATATGTTGTAGTGTTGTCAATGTATGTCACTAGACTGCCCTTTCAGCTGCACTTGCATTTTTTCCCTTTCTAATTGCATATGTATAAAAAGCTAAAGCAAGATAGATGACATGTACAAATAAAATTCTTAAGGAGTAAAACAAATTGCATCATTCTATGCATACATTTAAACCACTTATTGATTTTACCTGGCAAACTAATTTAGCTTAAGTGAGTGAAAGATTTCTATCATTTAGTATTTAGACTCATTTTCTGCTGTTGAGTCGACTTCATTCTGCTGTACCTTTCCAGCATAACTACTGGCCCTTTTCATTCAAGCAATGGTTTATTTAACAGACAGGTTCTATATTGCTCTTTGTCTGTTTACTCTTTTTTGAAGACAGACTTTTGTTTTTAATTTTCTTACCATTCATAAAATTGGAGCAAAGATTCTGAGTGTACATGTAGATGATGTAATAGACATAAAATATGTGCATCATATTTTGTATGCAAATCTTTATTACTGGTTATACTAGTTGAATTAGTAAAAATATTGTTTTGCATTTGACTGTAATAATATCTGGTGTTGCTGAAAGGGTTATGTATGGTGTCTGTGATGGAGAAAGTTATTACACAGACAATTCATAGTGTCATTGTTCTGTAACCGGTGTGTTATGTTGTGTTGTTGTATGTGGAGTGAATTTTGTTTTGTTGGTGATTTGTTATAAATGATGATGATAAATGTAATTATAATATAGCTGGATAGGGTAACAATTTAATCAATGAAGATGAAGTGAAACATGCATGTTAATTCATAGTGTCATCAGTTATACAATGTTATATGCTGTACAGTGAAATTCTGTGACATTGTTGATATTTGGCTTTCATGTTAAGTGTGCGTTAGAAATTCTGTTTATTTCTCTGTGTTGTGAAGTCATGTGGTTATTGATTGTAACAATAAAGATCTAATTTTGAGACTAAACTTGTTCAATTGTAACATTCTTTTAACTTTTACTAGTGGTGCCATTGGATAACCAAAACTAGATTTCATTCAACTGCCACTTGATTGCCATCATCTTGGCCACAACCCTTTCTATCTCCTCCTCCTCCTCCCCCTCCTCTTCCCTCTGTGTCATTGTGGTTTATAAAGGAACTGCTGTAATTATTGAACCTGTCATTCCCATAAAAGGCTTGTCTGCATGTCTTTGGTGGAATCTACGTTCCTTAATTATTATTAATGACAAATTTTCAGCTGTTTTCTTGATGTGTATTCCTTCTCTGACAAGTAACCTTGTTTCATAGTCATGACATCCTGTTATCCTTTTGCATGTCTTAAAAAAAGGTGAGGGTGACAAACAGCTAATGGTACTTTTTTTTAACCAATCTTTCCCTAATTTTCCTTTGGGTGTCAGAAGTCCTACCTCTGTTGTGGTGCAGCTTGGCTACAGTGTGGTGATAGCCTTGTTGAAGTCTGATTTCTCACTTGCTACTGTCTTGCAGTCTGGTTGCAGACTTGCTGTAGTCTTACTCTTGTCTTTTTGCACTCTAGCTTCAGACTGGTTGCCTTCTCATTCTCATTTTGCTGCTGTCTTACTTTCTTGTTGACTTCTGGGTTCAGACTTGCTGCAGTCTTGTGTATGTCTTACAGCAGCCCTTCTTGACACAGTCTGGTTGCATTTTTGCTAGTCTTTAGTTTCGATTCTATCTCTCAAAATTTCTTCTGTCCCACTGCAATGTGGTTACAGACATGCTTTGGTATCAGTTATGTTCTGTCTTGCAGCAGTCCTGCAGTTTCCTTGCAGTCTTGCATCAACCTGGCTCCAGTCTTGTTTTCTGGTCATGATATCTACCTATCTGCCACCTTGCAGTGGTCTTGTTAGAGTATGGCCCAAGACTTACAGCAGTCTCGCTAGGTTTTTTTGTGTTGTCGTGTCCTTTAAATTGACGCCAACACCTTAGCGTTGCTTTACATTGAGGCCACCACTTTTATTGTTTTTGTTCTCCTTTGCAGCCTTTCTCGCTATTCTCTACTTCTTTGTTGTTTTTATGGAAAAGGCACAGAAAAACAGAGCAAACTGAAGGGTGTTGTCATTTTAGTGAAGTGCAGGTCACAAGCTAAAACTTGTGCCAGTTTCAGTAAAGAATAATTTGAATGGCATTCATTTTCCTCTGGTCCTTGAATTATTTCCTTAGAGTTTCCCACCAGAGATTGAGCACATCAAGCCTCGTTTCGTTGTTTGTTTCTTTGGTTTCTATTGTTTTTGTCTTTTTTTTCCCATGAAATTTGTATGTCCAGGTGTGAACGTAAGTATAGTATGGTGAGAACTTCACTTTTAACTGGACCATTTGTTACTGTTCTTCAGGTTTGAAATCGGAAACTGTTTCAATCACCTACTGAAAAGAGGAAGTTTTTACATTTCCTGGAATTAAAATGAACTGTGTGCATAGGTTATTGATTAATTCAATGGTTCTATTCAAAGATGGATTCCAGCGAAATCTATATACTCTGGATATAAGTACACTACGCGCAAATACGTTAGCGTTTTTACTGACACAAATATACCGAAATATTAGCAATAATGTGTTTAGAAACTGATCGGGATCATTACACTGGCAATGAATCTCAGCGATGTGAATCTCAATTCTTTTCTATTTGCTCTTCTGTGATAAGGCAAATCTACCATCCTTAACTATCAAACGCAGACGAATCTACATTGTTTTAGATGAAAATATATTTTTTGATTCAAAATAAATGGGTGAACAAGCAGTTGCCTCTGAACAGTCATGACCATTCCAAATTGCGCCCAAAGTCTGGATTTGAATCTGAGCAGACAGTTGTGATTTTAAGTCAAACGAGTTAACTGTGCGCTGTATGTGAACTGCATATGGTATATCTATTTTCAAACGGTTCAAATATCACTGTGGCATTCACTGGACTGTCAGTCAGACACTCAAACAACCTAACTGAAGATTTTTAACTTGCCTTCGATTTTTTATTCTACACGCGCTCAGAGGGTTCTCAAAGGCGTTACTTCATTATATTTTTTTCGTTTGTTTTTGACGTGAAAAAGTGTCGTCAAGGGTAGCAAAGGCTATGATATAGGAGATTGGTTGAATATTAAAACAGCCTAAATGAGCGAGTTGGGATATTGACGAGTAACATTGTCACTGATTACAAACCAACAACTTTAAAATTTAAGGTGTGGCGTGTCTCCTCTAAGAACCCCTCGGGAAGTAACCCAACTGGTCTAGAGCTACCCTAAGTGAATTTCTGAAACAATTCGTGGGTTATTTGAGCAACTGATTGTGTGGTGACAGTCACTAATGTCATATTCTGACTGGTAAACCGGTCACGTTTAAACACGTTACTATATTTTGATTATATAATTGAAATCGATATGTTGTCTTACTTTAACTAATATGACCTTCTTAAGATTCCAAATATCGTATTTACTAGTTTTTTTTTGTGATGTACTTACCAAACGCAAATAACTACATACGCTTTTGATTATCTCATCCATAAACACTCTGATAGTATATTATATTGATCACCGAGAGATATTTTTACAAAAAAAATAATATATACATTCCAAAAGAATTGTAATAAAATATTTTGAGATGCCCACTGCTTTTAAGTCTTGTAACGTTAACTTATTGAGATAAAAGCTTTCAGGCTGTCGTTTATATGAAACATTAGCGGCTCTTGCTCCAGGCACCCAAGATTAGTTGAAGAATGCATGAAAAGTGGTGTATAACATTAAGTAAGAAAATTCTGCAAGAAGGCTCATTGATGCCCCCCTCCTCTTCCCCCCCCCCCCCCTTTCACCCCGCTCTCATAGTGTACCACATGGGACCACATTACAGTGTAACATACCCTGCTTCTGACATTTGTCTTCCATCTAAGAAACACTCATGGTGAATAAATTCTAACAATAATGTCCACCTTAACAATAACTCGCTCGTTAATACCCGGTGTAAGTTAAAGGAAGACCCATGAACTGATTCAACTTCCGCAAGGACTATACTCTGACCCTTAACTTGGCATTTCCTTTCTTTATCCATCGAAAATTACAAGACTCGTTAAGAAAAAAGTTCATCCATTCAAGAACTAAGTCCTGGCAACAAACTAACTCCACGGAGCGATCCGAGGGTACATAAATGACTGTGAATATATGAAAATCATTTATGTGAACTGTGGATAACGACGTGAATATGAAAGCGATCTGCCCAGTAATAAACACTACTTAAGCAGTAGGGAAATTAAGGCCTGGAAAAAAAATCAGGCCTGTACGGAATTCGAACCCATGACCTCTGCGATACCAGTGCAGTGCCTACCAACTAAGCCAACTGAAAATCATATATGCGACATCTATGTTTATTACGAACCAAAATGATGACCAGCTCCCAGTTTAGGTAGTGTTCATTGCTACGAAGATCGCTTACATATTCATTTCTTAACCCGCAGTTCACGTATATGATTTTCATATATTCACAATCATTTATTCACCACTTCAGGGTTTATCACGAACCAACATAGTGACCAGCTCCCAGTTGGCCTGTTAGCTCAGGTGGTAGGGCACTACACCGGTATAGCATAGGTCATGGGTTCGAATCCTGTACAGGGCTGAACTTTTTTCAGGCCTTATTTTCACTACTGCTCAAGTAGTATTCATTACTGCGAAGGTCGCTTTCATATTCAATTGAGGGTACGTTCTTGATTAGTCTGAAGTTTTAGCGATCCACTCGCACCAAGTTGCCCATAAAGACTGGGGGCGTGGAGGGGATTGGCTGGCCAAGCCAACTTAAGGGATCAAACATAACAATCCAGGTAGATGAAGAACACTGAACACTGTAATAACCACAACTAATTTGCAGATGTAGTATACATCAGCAACTCCCATCTCTTGCTGTAAACTTGTTTACTAACCTGTAAGTACGAAGCTAAGCCAAACGACAGAAAAACATACAAATTCATATAAATATATGAGACAATTCTATTACATTTGTACAAGCAGGAAACACTGAACTAAGTGAACAACTCCTTAAAAAAAAGAAAACGAAAACAAGGGATAACACTCCATAAGCACTCGTGATTCAGAAGCATTAACTATGTATCAAACAGACGTATTTATCACAGCGTAGTCTCCTTCTTTACGGGGCCGAGTGGGGTCTCTGGATGGCGGCCTGTTGGGTACGCGATGCGTTCCTTGCACCAGGCCCTCCTCGGTGTCACCATAGCGGATTTCATACTCGTACACAGTCATGATGGGTAGCACTAGTCAAGGAAAGACCCTAATAGTAAATATCATCAAATTAAGATTACTAAAACAGTCGATTTAGACAATACCTAGCTTTGAAAGGAAGGTGAACTTTACTAGGAGTGGCAAGATGTCACACCAAGCCTTGTTCACTTAAGCATTCATCTCAACTGACCTTATTTCTTAATAAACACGGGTTTGATTAAAAAGGATATTTGCTGTAACAGGAAGATAAAGTATGTCGGTCTCCGTAACTATTTCCACATGATGTCCCACGTGACCTAAACCACTATCTCCGACCACGCCTACTGCCACAGCAAAAATCTCCACATCCAGAACAGAGTTCATACCCGCCGCCACCTTCAAAAATAAGCGGAACATGATAACATATGTTGGGTTCCTGACAGTAGATTAATAACACGATAAAAGAAACAAGGCTTACAGGTCCAGGTTGATAAAGAATACGCAAGCCAGTCGATGGTGGTGGCTGCTTTATCTTGTACCGACAGCTATCAATGCCGACATTTTTCAGTAGTACACTATGAACATAAGTGCAGCCTTCCTTTAGCACCCCAAAAGACACCTGTGGCGGCAGCAACTCAAAGCCTCTAAGATTCTCGACTTTCTGCTGATCACCACCCGTCACAGACACTGTGTGTACACGACGGCGCACAGGGTCCTCAATTTCGTAGAACTAAAATTTGTTTAAACAAATAACAGATGATGATCAGAACTTAACATCACAATGAATAGAGACTGGGTTAACTTCAAGTAGTGTACAGTAAATTATGATCGTGAAGAAACGAGAAATAGAACCTTTCTCACTCTCCCCGTAAGGTGCTAGGAAGTTACAACAAACCGCAAATTCCAACAACGCACCGCTCTCACTTCACTAATGTTTGGTTTAAGTAACCCCATGGTTTACGGAAAAGAGAACATTTTGGCTACGAGTTGATTAATTCAAATTTGTACAACAGGTGTCAATTGCAGTAACACACCTGGCTGTTGGGAAGAGCTCCAGGTTTAGAACCCTTTATACAGCTGGGAAGTTTAACTTTAGCTTTCCTGGTTTCTCCGGTAACATCGAAGTACAAACTTCTGGGACTGATGTGCGGCATTTCAACTGTTAAGAGAAAATTGAACCATTCAAATAACGTTCATAATCCGATTTTAAAAAGTAATTTAGGAGAAAACAAAGCAAACTAAGTAAGTTACTTGATTCATAACAAGACATGACATGACACATACATAATTAACAGAATTCACATCACGCAGGTAACAGAACACAACAGTTCACCGTATAGAGTAGCACAGCACAGCACTGCATAGCATTGCATAGCATAACATGATGAACCGTTGCAATAGCACCTCACCTGAAAACACTGGACCGTTTTCATAGCCATCTGCGTCTTCTGGTTCGATGGGTCCTTCCAATCTCTCCTCCTGCGACGACGGAACATCCACCTCCTGAACAGACTCTAAATTGTTTCTCCACTGTGGGGAGTCCCCCTGGAGGGGGGAATCTTGGGAAAGAGGCTCAGAAGCCTGGCGAGGTGTTGGATTACTAGGACGAGGATTAGCGGTCGTGAAGGCCTGTGAAGGAGTAGGATTAGTTGGACGGACAGGGGTGGGGGTGCCGTTACCAGTAGCGTGCGCAGGAGTGGGGTTAGTGGGTCTTATGCCGTTTGGCGTGGCACTTGGTTCTCCCGCTGGATGCGAGGAAAGCTCTCCACTTGTTGCAGGGAGAACAACATCAGGGCTAGGAGCAATTTTGCTTCCTTCACCTGTTGTAAGAATCAGGGATAATAACGGGTCAACAGTTTCACGTCACTAATGCCCTTCAACCAAAAGAACAAAATAGAAAACAGTTTACATAAAATTACATGTGCAACAATTCCAAGTACATTTGAAAAGTACAGACTTGTACAAAAATCCGAAGTAAACAAAGGAAAGCAAATAAACTACAACGGTGGAGAGATAATCGAATACATCATACCTGTGCAGTCAGACGTAGCGCTTTCCTCGTGTACAACAATTTCTGGTGTTTCAGCGGGGCTACTTTCTCCAGGGGGTGGATGACGTGTTTGATTTGCTAAT